TCCATTATCTTCACGGTCATTTCGAGGGCCATCTCCATGATCTCCATGGTCATTTTCATGATCTCCATTGTCAACTCCATGAATATATCGATGGTAATTTCCATGATCATCTCGATGATCATCTCCATTATCATATCTATGATCGTCTCCATTATCATGTCGATGATCATCTGAATTATGATTATCTCCATTATCATGTCTCCATCATCATCTCCATGGTCATTTCCACTTTCACATCGATTATCATCTCCATGGTCATCTCGATGGTCATCTCCATGGTCATCTTGATGGTTAGCTTCATGATCATATCGATGGTCATCTCGATGGTCATCTCCATGCTTATCTCCATGAACATCTCGATGGTCATCTACATGATCATCTCCATGATCATCTCCATGATCATCTCGATGGTGATCTCGATGGTCATCTCCATGGTCATCTCCATGATGATATCGATGGTCATCTCCATGATATCGATGCTCATCTCCATGATCATATCGATGGTCATCTCGATGGTCATCTCCATGATCATCTCCATAATCATCTTGATGGTCATCTCCATGATCATCTCCATGATCAGCTAGATGATCATCTCGATGGTCATCTCCATGATCATCTCCATAATCATCTCCATGGTAATTTTCATAATCATCTCGATGGTCATCTCCATGATCATCTCCATGAACATCTCGATAGTCATCTTCATGATGATATCGATGGTCATCTCCATGATCATCTCCATTATTCATCTCGATGGTCATCTCCATTATCATCTCCATAGTAATTTTCATAATCATCTCGATGGTCATCTCCATGAACATCTCGATAGTCATCTTCATGATGATATCGATGGTCATCTCCATGATCATCTCCATTATTCATCTCGATGGTCATCTCCATGATCATCTCCATAATCATCTCGATGGTCATCTCCATGATCTTCTCATAGATCAGCTCGATGGTCATCTCGATGGTCATCTCGATGGTCATCTCCATGGTCATTTCCATGATCATTTCGATGGTAATCTCCATGATCATCTCGATGGTCATCTCGAAGTTCATTTGCAAGATCATCTCGATGGTCATCTCCATGATCATCTCGATGGTCATCTCCATGATCATCTCGATGGTCATCTCCATGATCATCTTGAAGGTCATCTTCATGATCATCTCCATGATCATCTCGATGGTCATCTCGATGGTCATCTCCATGATCATATCGATGGTCATCTCCATGCTCATCTCCATGAACATCTCGATGGTTATCTCCATGATCATCTCCATGATCATCTCCATGATCATCTCGATGGTCATGATCGTCATCTTCATGGTCATCTCCATGATGATATAGATGATCATCTCCATGGCCATCTCGATGGTCATCTCCATGATCATCTCCATAAGCATCTCCATGGTAATTTTCATAATCATCTCGATGGTCATCTCCATGTTCATCTCCATGAACATCTCGATAGTCATCTTCATGATGATATCGATGGTCATCTCCATGATCATCTCCATTATTCATCTCGATGGTCATCTCCATGATCATCTCCATAATCATCTCGATGGTCATCTCCATGATCATCTCGATGGTCATCTCCATGATCATCTTGAAGGTCATCTTCATGATCATCTCCATGATCATCTCGATGGTCATCGCGATGGTCATCTCCATGATCATATCGATGGTCATCTCGATGGTCATCTCCATGCTCATCTCCATGAACATCTTGATGGTTATCTCCATAATCATCTCCATGATCATCTCGATGGTCATGATCGTCATCTCCATGGTCATCTCCATGATGATATCGATGATCATCTCCATGGCCATATCGATGGTCATCTCCATGATCATCTCCATAATCAGCTCGATGGTCATCTCAATGGTCATCTCGATGGTCATCTCCATGGTCATCTCGATGGTCATCTCCATGGTCATCTCGATGGTCAACTCCACGATCATCTCGATGGTCATCTCCACGGTCATCTCCATGATCATCTCGATGGTCATCTCCATGATCATCTCGATGGTCATCTCCATGATCATCTCCATGATCATCTCAATGGTCAACTCGATCGTCATCTCCATGGTCATCTCGATGGTCATCTCCATGATCATCTCGATGGTTATCTCCATGATCATCTCGATGGCTATCTCCATGATGATCTCGATGGTCATCTCCATGGTCATCTCCCTAATCATCTTGATGGTCATCTCCATGATCATCTCGATGGTCATCTCCATGGTCATCTCCCTAATCATCTCGATGGTCATCTCGATAGTCATCTCCATGATCATCTCGATGGTCATCTCCATGGCCATTTCCATGATTATATCGATGGTCATCTCCCTAATCATCTCGATGGTCATCCCGATGGTCATCTCCCTAATCATCTCGATGGTCATCTCGATAGTCATCTCCATGATCATCTCGATGGTCATCTCCATGGCCATTTCCATGATAATATCGATGGTCATATCCCTAATCATCTCGATGGTCATCCCGATGGTCATCTCCATGATCATCTCCATGATCATCTCGATGGTCATCTCCATGATCATCTCGATGGTGGTCTCCATGATCATCTCAATGATGATCTCCATGATCTCAGAATGGAATCGTAGTCACGTGCTTCTTCAAAATTAGCAGTCGGTGTACATCCCTTATGTTTTTTCTTTAAATAACTGAAAAATAAAGAGATTGTTTAAATCATCACCATCATCAAAGTTACGCCTTGTCCAATATACAGGAGCATCCGAGCGTAATTGTGTTAAAGCAGGGGTCCTCAAACCTTTTAAACAGGGGGCCAGTTCACTGTCCCTCAGACCGTTGGAGGGCCGGACTATAGTTAAAAAAAACTATGAACAAATTGCTATGCACACTGCATATATCTCTGTTACATCTGTCAGAAAGGCAAGGTGCCATTTCCATTCTTGCATCCTTGAGCTCTGGTACTTCTTTGTTTTTTGAAAGCAGAAAAGCTGTAATCTGTGGAAGTAAGTCATAGAAACGTTTCAAAACTCTCCCTCGACTCAGCCAACGGACTTCTGTGTGGTACAGAACATCTTCATAGTCAACATTTAGCTCAAACAGAAATTCCTGAAATTGTCTGTGGTTTAGTGCATGAGTTCTAATGAAGTTAACACAAGATACCACAATTTTCATAACAGAGTCCCACTTCAGTGATTTACTACACAGCGCTTGTTGGTGGATGAGGCAGTGTATGGCTATTGGATGAGAATGGTTATGTTTGTCCATCTCTTGGTTAATGCGAGCAATTACTACTTTCTTAGACCCCACCATGCTAGGAGCACCATCAGTTGTCACACTGGCTAGTTTAGCCCAGTTCAGCTCCAAACTATTCACAGTTTGGCAAACCTTTTCATAGATATCATCTCCTGTAGTTGTTCCTTTGATGCTTTGCAGTGCAGCAAGCTCTTCTATGACTTCGAAATAGTCATTCGTCCCACGAATAAAAATTAGAAGTTGTGCAGAATCACGAACATCATTGCTTTCGTCGAGTGCCAAGGAAAAATAGGAAAGTTTTTTTGTGGAGTTTTGCAAATGCTGATGGAAATTGTCTTCCATTTCTTCAATCCTCCGTGTAATTGTAGGTCCTGAAAGACTCACTGTACTAAATAAATCGGCCTTCTCTGGACACATCTCTTTGGCAACAGAAAGAAGGCATTCTTTAACAAATTCTCCCTCCACGAATGGTCTGCCAGTGCACGCTATTAGCTTGGCAACTTGAAAACTTGCTCGCAGTGATGAAATATTTAGCTGCTTCTGCTTCACAAAAGTATTTTGCTGAGTTGTTAATGTATTTTTCAGTTTTAATATGTTATCTTTTCTCACTTCTCCGACCAATCATATTTATCTTTATGTTGAGTTTCAGTGTCGACGTAAATTGTATTCTTTGAACACAGACACTATATTCTGGCATATCAGACACAGCTCTTTCCTTGTACTGCATGAAAAAGTAATCATAAGTCCACTGTTTTTTGAATATCCTACACTCCGAGTCAATTTTTCTCTTTCTTGACATCATTGTTTCCTAGGGAGTCAAAATTGCTATTAGTAAAATACCAATATATATACAGCGCTACAAAAACAATATACCAGCAATAACTTTGCCCACACAGAGACATACAGACTGCACTGCCCATCAATGCAGTCTGATTGGGGGAACTCCGCTTTTACCCCAGGCTCACACTGGTGCGGGTGCCATTAAAAAGTTAATTACACCTCCAGTTTTGTTCACAGATCGCAGTGCGATCTGCGAACTCGCATAGGAATCTGATCGCATGGGGGAGAAGACCCATGCGATCCGATTCCACTGCAGGAAAAAAGAAGGCACATGTGCCTTTTTTCTTCCGAAACTAATGCAAGTTCAGCCATACAAGCATATGGCTGAACTCGCACTGCTCAGAGATCGCAACAGTATGAACCGGGGCTTACACAACATATAACCTCATATAATTGAATAGCAATCAGAATATAAATGCACTGTCATTTAAATTGGGTTTCCTACTCCTCGGCTGTCTGTCACTGACCAGCACGGGAAAACAGCAGGCAGCCCCTCCAGAGACCAGAGATCACTCTGTTATTACCCCTCTATCATTTACTCAGCACACGGGACTATCACTGAAAGTGGAGCCGAAGGGCAAGTGAGGGAGCTGAGGGAGGGAGAGCCAGTCAAGCGCAGCCAGGGGAGGGCTGCAGCCTTCGGCCTGGGGGGCAAGTCCAGTCAATTGGCCCATTGAACCATTCACCAGCGCAGCCCAATGAGTGCTCACCAGCGCAGCCCAATGAGTGCTCACCACCGCAGCCCAATTAGTGCTCACCAGCGCAGTCCAATTAGTGCTCACAAGCACAGCCCAATTAGTGACCATGGGCCGGATAAATGCCCTCGGTGGGCCGCATGTGGCCCGCGGGCCGTAGTTTGAGGACCCCTGCCATAGGCAAACACAGATCACAACACCACACACAAACTGATACCCATGAATGTGTTTATTTTAAAATAGTTTTTGGTCAGCCTGGCACGTCAACGTTGACTCAAAAATACATTGAGTGAAATGTGAAGGTGGCCCCGTACACAACCAATGGGCATTGCATAACTATGATTTAAAAATGACACCTCAACAAAAGCCAAATGAAATACGATATTATGAATCGGACTACTGCTTGAATAGAGCTAGGGTTGTTAAGTCTTTTGTGTTGCAGGTAACCGCGTTAAAAAGCAGTAAAAATATTTGGTCAACTGGTTCACTACACATATAGAATGTCCAGCAACACAAAACGTTTTACCTTTAGAGCAGAAAATTAAAGGAAGCTGCTGTGGTGTAACGGTGACCACAGTGGACTTGGAATCCAGAGGTCTCAAATTTCATTTCCCAGCGCGGCAGTTGAAGCAACGGGGCAAGTTTCTGACATCGCACCTGCCGCGGTCCACCCAACAATATACTATTTGTTTTACTTTTTTTATTTTACCAGGTATGGCCCTTGTATAAAAGCGACCTGGCCACAAATGACAGCTCAAACAGGTGGCTTATCACGTGGAAATGTATCGCAGCGAAAATTACTCGAAAAGCATGTTTCTAAATTTGAAGGGAATTAAACCAGAGGACCCGGAAAAAAATACACGCGACCACGGGGAGAACATGCAAACTCCATATATACAGGTGTTACGGTCGGGATCAAACCCACGACCTCCTGCATACCAGGCGAGGTAGTAAACATCTCGCCACCGTGACGCCGAGAAAATGGGTCCACAATCGGCACATCACCTTTGATGGGATAAAGTTGGGGCGTGCCCACCACTTCCAAAACGTCTGCAAGAGTGGAGCAAATACCCTCCAGAGCTCTCTCAGTGGAGGCCCTTTCGTCAGCGGCGGCAGCATAAGCGAGCAATTGCAGGGCCGCCGCACCTTCACCTGTTAACGGAGACATTTGACAAATGCACCTCGCGGTGACTGCTCCACCACCGTTCCGTTTTGTACGTTCACACGTACCAAACGGAGCATTCACTGTGAATATGCCACTGAAATCAATTCATGGCTCCTGACTTTTGGAAGTGGTAATTGATTTTGACAGCATTTACCACTTTACCGGTTACCATTCAACAACCTTATAAAAGAGTATCAAACTGAGCCGACTGGTATTTATACTATAACTCATACGTTTTTCACATTGCTATATTACAACCTTTATGCAATGTGTATGCAGCACGAATGAATAGGCATCATATCATGACAGTTAATAACCCTGCAGCATTTACATTAGCCCTAGCAGAGTTAGCCCCATACAAGTACTGTATTATTACACACTCATTCTGCAGGCACGTTGAAACACAATAAGCAATCATAATACGGAACCATATTGGAGTGTTAGTACACAGTAAACCCATAGCAGTGTTAATCCTATCAGTGTTAATATGTAATGTCCTACCAACATTTTAGTTCACCTATAGCATTAGTGCACATTAATATCCATACATAACCCATGCAGTATTAATCCATTACAGTTGCAGTAGCGTTATATAGCGTCAATGTCCTACACAATTGCTGGGGCTTAGCAACAGGAAATCATCAACACCCTTGGCCTCTTAAACTGCCCCCAAAATAATGTCGAGACAAATAATCAGACAAAGATGCCTCCTTCCCATATCTGTACCTCCACATGAGGAGTTTATTTATTTACACGTCCAATCAGCCACACAGCCTTCTGGGATTGCATGCATTTTCAGCAGCATTGGTTTCAACGCACGCGAAACTCTGCACCGATTTCCACATTCAGTCTCTCATTACCAGTCATGCTTGCTGGAACACATGCATATAAGCATATGGCAGATCCTCAGCATTGCTTCGAGCAAGCCCGACTCTGCCGATGAGACGTTCTATGTAAAACCGGTCCAAAATGTGCTTACATTGAACCAATGCTGCAATGAAATACAATCCCAGAAGGGCGTGTAGTTTATGGATTGTGCAATTACTTTGATGTTTTCACGTGGAGGGAGAGATACGTGACGGAGGTGTATTGTCGACTAATTTATCTTATTAAAAAATCTTATCTAGCTGGTTATGGAGTTGCAAACGGTAACTTTATGTCATTTAGGTGAGGCCTCGTAGGTAGCTTAGTTAGGTAGCTGAGTTACATAGCTTGAAATGCAGTTGGGGAAAACAACTTTAAAACCATTGGAAACACAACGAATAAATGTAACATGTATGTTTATAGCTTCGGGGATATTTTCCACGTGTGCCTGAAACAAACATTTAAGGCAGACCCGGATAAAAAAAAGCTTAAATAAAGTGAAGGGCAAGAGCAGGTCCAAGTGTTCTCAGAAGGCTGAACTGGATAATTAAAAGTACCACAGCAATGTGCCTCGACGGGAAGATATTGCAATGTGTGCACGCTCCCTGCCACGATATGCGTCAGAAACGCCTCAGGAATCGAAACTGCTTAAAATATGCAAAGAAGCACGGGGAGATGCATGCTGGCAATCACAATCAGAGACAGAGAGAGGAGCAAGTTGGATGAGAGAACATTAGATGACGTTATTGATACGCTGAAGTATTGAGTAGGCTTGGGCAGGGCACATCGTGGCTGGCAGGATAGGCCAAGGTGACGAACAATAAGTGGGCAGTCAAGGGAATGGAACGTGTCCGTGAAGACATCCACCAGTGAGATGGGATCACCAAATGATCCACTGGAAATGCATTTCTCTTCTTTCGTGCCAAATTCGGATGGTAAATAATTAAAAGAACCAGAAGTAGGACCGATATCTAAGAGACAGAGCCTGTGCCTATACACAACTATTAGTTCACTCGCGTTGATTAAAGCAAGCAAGCAAGCCTGGCTTTCTGATGAGACCCTATAAATTGAACCAATGCTGCTTAAATGTATGCATTCTAAGAAGGCCACATGGCTGATTCGAGCTATGAAACACCGTTTATGTTGACGTGGAGGGACATATATGGGAAGGAGGAATTTTGCCTGATAATCTATTTTGCTAGAAATGTTCACCTTGTTGGTTAGGGAGTTTAAAATGTCGTTTTAGTTAGTTTAGGTTAGCTTAGTTAGGTACCTTTGAATGCATTTAGGGAACCAATTTTGACTGATGGGAAACATAAGTTTTCGATGTGGCACATATAAAGTCCTGGGGTTCTTTCACCGTACCTCACCACAATGGTCAGTGGGGGTCAGTGAGGACGGGGAGCATATACTTGGGAGCAAAGACGAAGAGTGCAACAATGTGGTTTGCTGGACTGCCCTTTGCTACCTACCACACCTGTATGCATGCATGTGTATGGTGGTCACCCATCCAAGCATTATTCCAGGCTCGATTCCACTTTGCTTCCGAGCTCCAATGAGATCGGGAACATTCCGGTTGACTTGACTGGAGAGCCCAGGAACAAGACGATGCGAGATGACGTTGGGAAGGGAATAAAGAGAAATGTTGTAACCTGCAGTGTCGCGAGCGGGTGAGTGGCTGGTTAGGTTTATGTTTTTTGCTATGATTTCTATATATATATTCTGCTATGATTTCTATATTCCACGATACAAGGTGGTGAGATGTTAACAACCTCACCTGGTCTACAGGAGGCTGTGGGTTCGATCCCGACCCTGACCCCTGTATGTCTGTGTTTGCATGTTCTCCCTGAGGTCGCGTGGATTTCTCTCTGGGTCCTCCGTTTTTCCCTCCACATTTAGAATCAACGTGCGTTTAGAGTATTAGGCTACTATAGATTTTCACGCGATAAGCCACTTGGTTGAACTATCATTTGTGGCCAGGTTGCTGCTGAAAAAGAGCTACATAGCTCAGTGGGCCATACCTGGTAAAATAAATGATTGTTTTGCTCTGATGTCTATTAGTTTAATTGGTGTACTTTATTTTTATGTTTTTGCCTTTGTCAATTTGGCGACCCAGGTAAGTCACTCTTGCAAATGAGACTTTTCTCTTTATGGTCTAAACCTGGTTGAATAAAATAAACTTGACATTTGAATATCAGGGCAATTGCAGAGCTTGAATGATGTGGGCACATGTGGAAAGGACAGAGAGATGAGGGTGAGGTACAAGGCACTGGAATGGTGGGTGAACACAGTTGCTGAGCGCAGACCCAAATGCCCAAAACATCATGCGGAAAGAAATAAAGAGCACTATCAAGAGTTGTAATAGATACCAGTTAAGACTTTCTTGAATTGAGCACGGTTATTATTAAAGCTTGGAAAAAGAAAACGGGAAGCATTCCAATTTGAAACCTCATGAGGGATGAAGCAGAAATAGAAGTGTGGTGGATGGGTGGGCTGGGTTGGGTGGGTGGGTTTGGGTGGGTGGGTGGGTTGGTTTGGGTGGGTTGGTGTGGGTGGGTTGGTTTGGGTGGGTTGGTTTGGGGAGCTTGGTTTGGGTGGGTGGGCTGGTTTGGGTGGGTTGGTTGGTGTGGGTGGGTTGGTGTGGGTGGGTGGGTTTGGGTGGGTTGGTGTGAGTGGGTGGGTGGGTTGGTTTGGGTTGGTTGGTGTGGGTTGGTTGGTGTGGGTTGGTTGGTGTGGGTGGGTTGGTGTGGGTGGGTGGGTTTGGGTGGGTTGGTGTGAGTGGGTGGGTGGGTTGGTGTGGGTTGGTTGGTGTGGGTTGGTTGGTGTGGGTTGGTTGGTGTGGGTGGGTTGGTGTGGGTGGGTGGGTTTGGGTGGGTTGGTGTGAGTGGGTGGGTGGGTTAGTGTGGGTTGGTTGGTGTGGGTTGGTTGGTGTGGGTTGGTTGGTGTGGGTGGGTTGGTGTGGGTGGGTTGGTTGGTGTGGGTTTGTTGGTTGGTTGGTTTGGGGTGGGTGGATGAGTGGGTGGGTTGGTTGGTTGCTTAGTTTGGGTGAGTTGTATGTCTGTATCTTGAACTTCTTTTGCACCGTTCATAGCCAACCGTGCTAATTGGAGGTGCGGGGGAAGGTTTGGGTGGGTTTGTTTGGGTGGGTGGTTAGTTAGTTGGTTTGGTTCGGTAGTTGGGTTGGTGGGTGTGTTATTATATGCTGATGAGTTTTTATGGGTGTGTTTTTTGGGTGAGTAATTTTTGATGGGTGGGTGGGTTGGTTTGGGCAGGTGAATTGGGTGGGTAACAGAGTGGATGGTTGGGTGAGAAACTGTATGAGTGAGAGGGTAAATCAGTGGCAGGTTAGGTTTGCGAGTGGGTGTGGTGTTGTGATCTACAGTGCGGTGGTTAAACCCCGTGTGGATGAAATAAAAGTCTTGTAGACAGAGTTTTCAACATGGTAGGAGGAATCAAAGAGTGAAGTTCACAGGATAGTGGTTTTATGGATGGCGTTGGTTAACATTGGCATGCGAATACCTACACTGTGCTGGCAGTGGTTGTGTGTTCTACGCAGCAGTGAGAAAAGCGAGCCCAGATGGCCCCGTTACAGTGGCACATTCTCCACTGTTCTATCAGTGGCACCAGGTCCCCCGGTTCCTCCTGGCACCACGGGGATCTTCACACCCTCCTCCTCCGCTTCCTCCGCCTCTTGAATGATATCACTGGCCCCAAGGCCCTCTGAGATGCTGCCACTGCGGCTTGTACTGCGGCTCACCCGAGCCTGTGTGTACAGGATGCGAGAGAGGAGACACGTTGAACATGAAACGTAATCAAGATCAAGATGTCTTTGTAGCCAATGCCATTGCTATTACTATGGGCAAAATTACCAGAGTGAGAATCTGGACGATAAATTTGGCTTATATCATTGTGTATAACGTATCAACCATTCCTTAGACAAATAAAATATTAATATAAACGGTAGATACCTTCCAGAACTACAAACACACAGTGCCCAGCCACAACACCGAAGACAGCCAACAAAAGTACGGTTCCAGCCAGTCTGAGCCAATAAACCTCCATACTCCAAGTGTAGTACATTTTAGATTTTTATTTATTTTATTCATTTCAGAAGGGCCCAATGACCTAAATACTAAGTCAAGCAGAAGACAAACTACAGTCTTTACAAACACCTTTGCGAGCACACCCTTTTTAACATCTCACATTCTACTCAGACCAAATGGCTAATACACAGGACACGAGATACATGGGCAATAAACAATGTACAAGACAGACATTTGACATGTTTGTCTGTTTACATATTAGTGCTATAATCCCAGGAACGTGGAGGAGCAGGTACTCACACCAAAGACAAAGATTCCCCATATATAGCCTTGACAGACTGTTGGGGCAAGTGCTGTTAGCGAGCACCTATGAAGGCCGGCACGGCACACGAGTGGGTGGGTGGCCAGCACCACGCCCCAGTTGCGATGTTTACGGGACACAACACTGGTACTCATTTGAGGCCGAGTCGACCTAGGGGAGGCCCAGGACGGGTGCAGATAATCGTCACTGGACGTGACGGTGAGCGGGAATCGAACTCGGGCCGCCGGGTTGATAGCGCAGCGTGCTAACCACTACACTCCCACGAACCGCTCCCCATAGATTACCAGTCATCGAATATCACCCTCTTGCACACACACCTTCCACAGTCTCACCTTGATTGTTGACACCGTACTCTCCACCTTCTCCTCCAGTGACTTGAATGTTGGAGAGTTCCTAACAGAACACAGAGGAATTCAGTCAACACCCTGCGATATTCTCCCAGCCAGGTGGCTCAGTGGAGGGTCACAAGTTCAAATCCTGATTGGAAGGGCTGACTCTCTACCATGGCCTGACTGCCATTATTTCACCAGTGGTAATGTTTACACACTGCTCCAAATACTTATTTCAGGCTGAGTTGATCTCGGGGAGGCCCAGGACCGGTTAAGATGTCCGTCACTGATGTTGGCCGTGAGTGGGAATCGAACTCTGGATGCCGGGTTTCTAGTGCAGTGCCCTCACCACTACACTACCGTTCGCCACACACACATACAGTAAAACCTTGGATTGCGAGTAACTTGGTCTGTGAGTGTTTTTCAAGACGAGCAAAAATTTGTAATAAATATTAATTTGATAAACGAGCGATGTCTCGCAATACGAGTAGTACGTACAGTATTCGCTTTGTCTGCCGAGCGTCACGTGATCACAACTGATCCGATGGTTCTTCTCTCTCTCTCGCTGTGGGATTGTGGGTAATCGTCTCCCATGCTCGGTCTCAGTCGGCGTGCCTCACTCGTATAGTCAACATCCGTGCGAGCGTACACGGTTTACTATAGTGTTGTGACCACGAGTGTGTGCGTAAAGCATTTTCTTGATTTTGTGTCCAAGTGTAGGGACTGTTCTTTAGTAACTGTACTGCAAGTGAAAGTCGTCCTACACGATAACCCTCCTCTCCTCTCTCTCGTCTCCCTCACACCAGCCACGATTAAATGTAATTAATTTATTTGATTACTTTATATTCAATTTAAATAATAAAAATATTAAAAAGGTATTTTGTATTAAGAATTTTTATATGAATACCGAATTTTTGAGTTGTGGAACGAATCATCTGAGTGTCCATTATTTCTTATGGGGAAATTCGCTTTGATATACGAGTGCTTTGGATTACAAACACGTTTCCGGAACGAATTATGCTCGCAATCCAAGGTTTTACTGTATACATATGTAGGGCACTGCACATGGCAAGGATTACAGTGGGATCAGTGGAGATCGGTGGAAACAGGTGCAGGGAACTGTACGAGGGAAGGTTCGAGAAGGGAAATAGAGGATGGTAGAGTCTGCTGGAAGCATCTACCACCAGGGGAAAGTGCTGCAATTTACCAGGGTGTGGCCGAGCGGGTATATAAGGGGGAGTGAGGCCCGCGATCGGGGCGCTGGCTCATGGACAGAAGGACGACTGCATGTGGACGACATTGGGGCCGACTGTTGGAGATCAACATCGTGGAAACCATCGGGCCAACTGTTCAAGATCTACATGGTGGAAACCATCAAGAAGGACTCTTTGAGATTAACCCAGTGGAAACCCCCGGGGCTGCAGATAGTCATAGCCTTGTGAAACATGTTACTCATACTCTCACCTTGTAAATACGTTATCGTGAAATCAATCATCAAGAAAATGGAACAATGCGAGGGAGCTTTACACATATATACACACATGCACCTTCATATACGCCTTCAAAATTATTAGGATGCAAGTACCAGGGCATGCGAGGGGGCATAGGGCCATGCGTGCGTGCTTTACCTGATAGCTGGCATGCTTATGGATGGCCGGATTGTGTAGCTTAGCCACAGATAAGCATTGGGGGAGGAAGAAATAAACAGAATAAGTGTTGCAGGATGGGGAGTGGGGTGCAAAGCTAAGGAAGCAGATTTAATGAACATTATGGTGAAAATAATCGTTAACCTAAGTGTGGAGAAAATAAATAAATAAATAACAAAATAAATGACCAGACAATATTTCTCACTTTCTCTATGCCAGGGGTGGGGAACGTCCGGCCCGCGGGCCATGTAAGGCCCGCGAAATCATTTGGTCTGACCCTGCCAAGGCAACCGCACGACTCGAAATTCAATAAATCTAGGCGCTTTTTTCATAGCGACATACATTTAATTTAGTATGGCCCGCGAATGATGTTATAGATATCCAAATGGCCCTTGGCAGAAAAAAGGTTCCCCATCCCTGCTCTATGGTAATGTTACCCCGACTATCCAAATTAATGGGTGCTGCATGTGAATGGAAGAGCGGCCGATTCCATCGATGCTCTACCTGCGCGCAACCAGGGAAACTGGGCTGAGTTGTCTTCTTGGTTCTTACGTGACTTTACCGAAAGAACCAAGAAGATGAATCCCTGCAGTCACGAAAGCTTTAAATCGAAAAATGGGCCGAGTTGGTTTGTCAACTTGAAAAACGTTTAGGCCCAGGAGATATTGAAAATACAGCTGAGGCGCATTGGCGTTTCGTCAGTGTGATAAGGCGATGGTCAACTACTTAGTGGGGCAGGGAGCGAGCTTATGTTTGTGCACCACGTGTTGGTGGCAGGAGGATGTCGTCTGCCGACGACGGGACTTGAACGTGCTGGTGATAGCAAGCGTGCGTGCGAGAACATTTCTCGTGAACATATAGTAATTGATAATAGGGTTTTCCCCTTTTTTCTGGCAACAAAACAGGTGTTAAGAATTTTTTTAATTGTTTTATATGTATATTATTTTATTATTTCCCTTTTACGTGACTTTACCGAAAGAACCAAGAATAGGTGTTAAGATGTTAAAACACCAAACTGAAACCTTTTACAAGGAATCATGTTGCATTAACCACAGATACTTATAGTGAACATACAAACAAAAACATGCTCTGGTAATATATAATCATTGTCTTTGAATCTGATTGGTCCACACCAGAGACAGCTTCCTTAGAGCCAGCAAGAGAGTGCTTGAGTGTGGCTCATTAAAGCTGAGACGGCCTCCATCACCACGCCAGCCTAGGTGGCTGTCCTGACCTCCATCGTCATCTCCCAGATGGGAGGCCTATGAACCGAGATCAGGGACAGACTCTGGAAGGTAAACTCAACTACTGTTATTTGACTAAGTAAGGCCTACTGAGCTATGTAGCTCTTTTTCAGAAGCGACCTGGCCACAAATGATAGTTCAACAAAGTGGCTTATCATGTGGAAATGTATAGGGAACCAAATACTCGAAGGGCATGTTTCTAAACGTGGAGGGAAAAACTGGAGGGTCCGAAAAAAACCCTACTGCGACCATGGGGAGAACATTTCAACTCCAAATATACAGCAGCAGGCGTCAGGGTCAGAATCGAACCCATGACCTCCTGCACACCAGGCGAGGGAGTTAACATTTCGCCACCGCAGCGCAATGCAAGATGAACTATGGGAGGTCCATCACGATGTGGGTGTGTATTCATATGTTTGTGTGTGTGTTTCATTTGGGGGAGCGGTAGTGTAGCGGTTAGCGCGCTGCGCTATGAACCTGGCGACCCGGGTTCGATTCCCGCTCACGGCCAACACCAGTGACGATTATCTGAACCAGTCCCGGGCCTCCCCTAGGTCGACTCAGTCTCAAATGAGTACCTGGTGCGATGTGTAAACACCGTCACTAGGGAGACAAAGGCGGCCAGGCGTGGTGTTGGCTACCCTCACCCTCGTGTGCCGTGCTGCTCGCTAACAGCACTTGCCCCTACAGTCTGTTAAGGCTATACTGGGGATCTTTATCTTTGTGTTTCATGTGTGGCGTACTGCACACTTTATAGTAGTTTGAGTAGTGTAGTGTACAGTAGTGTGTAGTAAATATTGTAAGGTGTCATGTTATATAGTGTAGTATTTAGTGTAGTGTATGATGAATAGTAGAACTTTTTGCTGCAGCTCCTTACGATAAAAATTTCCCTCCCTTCATTACTGTTAATCCTACATTTTACACGAGCATCATATGACTTTGAGACCCCCCCACCACCTACACATTCCAAAAGGAGTGACTAATCCCATATCTGCATTTGCCATCAATATGCTTAATTCCGCTGTTGATATGTAAACTCCTTTGTCAAGGCGCTCTCCTCCTCTAACCCAGCTTAAATATACGCTGCCAAGCTTGGCGGGGTTCATTGGAGCGCTGTCTTTCCGACAGCTCTGTTTCTTCACCTGAGGATGGCTGCTTGTGTTGTGGCCGAAACGTCGTGAGAATTTGTATTTTATTACGTTGTATTTTTATTATTTAATTATTTCCCTTCTAGGTGAGTTTATCGAAAGAACCAAGAAGATGAATAGTAGAACGTGCGAGTGTGAGGGTGAATGTGGTGAGGTTGACCTGAGTAGGGGGTGAGTGTGAGCAGGGGATGTGTGTGCTCCGTCAGGTTTCATCAGTGCTCACTAACAGCACTTACCACAAAAGTCTGTTTAGGCTTTGTAGCAAGCTGAGTGTGTACGAATGGCAAGTAACCCCTCCTCCTGGCACTAATCTTACCAAATACTGGTTAAGCGGCATTATCTTTACATGCGTAATGCTGTGCGGAAGCTACCTGGCCTATCACTCCATAGGAAGCTCCAGGTCTTCTTGGCCAGTTATTCCCTCCCTTCTCTAGAATTGAAAAACATGGAGCCCTATTAAAAGAACATCTACGCCAGTTTGATATATTCAGGCTGGCCTGTCTATGATCTAGCCTTGGTTTAACCAGAGACTGGATTGTGTGAGGAGCTCCCAGATCCTTGAAATATCTGGACATTTCCATCAGTGAGCTCTTTTGGCTGGGTCATATAGCCCACATGCCCAGCCACCACATGCCAAATAAACTTTTCTTTGTCTGGATAGAGGGGCAAAATGGGCGAGGCAGAGGTTAGAGAAGAGATGGACTGATACGGTACAAAAAGATGTGGAGCTGATTGGACTTCCAGATGACTAGTACTAACGGTGTCAAGATGGGCCTCTTTTGGGGGCAACTCGTGAAGGACGCTCCTGGGCAATTGGAGGCAGCCACCCTCCAAGAAGAACGGAGCACAGAGCAGTGACCCTCACAACAACGAGCAAAGTGCCGGGAGAGCACAGGTGTTGCATCTTCCAGTTTCCCCAGTCAGTCAATCAATGACACCTGGGCCTGTCCCATGACCTCCTGTTAGCAAACTTTCGACAATTCACAAGGCCTCAAAGTGCACCTAGTCCTGTACAAGCTCTGTGGCAATGTTACTGTCACTTATTGGCGGACGACGGTTATTGATATTAGAGTTGGTCGGTGTTGGTGCGTGTGTGTGTTTCGTGTCTGTGTCAGCATTTTTGGGGTGAGTGTGCGTGCGCAGGTGTGTTAATTGGTATTCAAATCGGTGGGGTGGGGTGCGTGTGGACCTCTTTATCGTGAGTGTGCATTAGAAGTACGGGGCTGTAGCATATAGCGCCACCCCGTGGTCACGTTGTGTAACTGAACACAACTGTCAACGAATACGCGGTGGGGTTAAAGGAAACAACAACTGAACCGGCTTTCGAGTGAGAAGGCGAGTGTTTCAACTCGAGGGAGGTCAAGCAGATACACAAGTGCAGCCGCCAGGGAGCAAGCAGAGTCCCGCGCTGGCAGGTACCACGAGATGCCGTGGCACCAATAACGAACCCCATGGGGGCTTCGAATGTACGTTGAACTTATTTCACAGCGTAAGTAGCCAGCAAAGTAAACACAAAAATCAGTTCTAAAGAAATGAGTTTGTCGTCTAGATGATTTAAAAGTACATAGCTCCCTGTGGCTTCCTAATATTGGAAGGAAGAGCGTTCCAGACGGCCACAGAAGCGCATCTGAAACCGCGCGATGCAGTGATCCATCTTTGTTCGATGGCTAGCCAAAAGCCGCTGCTGCAAGGATGACCGGAGTTCGCATGATTGCTTATGCCCCTTTACAAGATCAGCAAGGCATTATGGTTCACTTGTGGCAGGCCCTTTGTAAAGTGGAAACCGGACAGGTTTTGACCTTCATTTTCTCATAATCAAGCACAGAGAAATATGGGAAGGAGGCATATTGTCCGCTTATTAATTTTTCTAGGGTGAAAAGGTGATGGAGAGATGTAGAGGGGGGGTTGGATAAATGGAAATAAGCATAAAATTAATGAGAAATATTCATCTCAAATGTGCAATTCATAACTTGAAAGCCTCCAGGCAAAAACATTTCCAGTTGTATTTGCGATAAACTGGTGGCATCATTTACAAGACTAAACATGCATACTGTAATATAAATTACCTCATGAGACTGAAAGTCATACACATGTGCATTGTGCATATAACGATTAGAGATACAGTAAACCCTCTCCATCCACGAGAGTTACGTTCTTGAAAACGCTTGCAAATGTAGAATGCGCAAATGCAAAAAGCTTTGTTCCAATGGGAAAACATGGGGTTACGTTCCTGGTACGAGTGAACATCGGGGGGAAATGGTAAAGGTTAAATAACAAGCACTTTATTTTTTTTTTTTGCTGTGGTTTTCACACCTGATGATGATTGCTTGTGTTGCAATCGAAACGTCGTGAGAATTTAATTGTTTTATGTTTAATATTTCCCTTCTACGTGACTTTACCGAAAGAACCAAGAATAACAATCACTACAATACATAAATAGTCCATTATTAAGAACAATGTGTATTTTAATTACCTTTGATGATGATTGTCGATTTGACAACGATGGAGGTGGTGGTGACGGTGAGGATTTCAGGAGCAAGACTCCTCGGAAGGTGCCGATGTTTAATAATATTCAGCTGTTATCATTTTACCACTGTGGGGAGTGCTAGCCACAACACTTTCCCCGATTACATTCGCGTTTGTTTTAATGTACCTCACAGTCGACTCGTGTATACCAGTCGAATGCAACTACATTACGTATAAAGTAAAAAGCAAAATAGCGAGTTCACAGCAGGATTACCGCGAAACTGAGGACTAAGCGGGCAGCCGATGGGGGCATGATTAATCTATGCGTGCACTTCCACAGTATCGGTAGTCTGTCGGCATTTCGTACACTTGTGAATGCCGGAGTCTGGCGGGTCGCGAATAGGGAATCGGTCTACATTTAGTAACTCGCGAAAATGCGGAATATGCCAAACTCGCGAATCCAAAACTCACGCATAGCGAGGGTTTACTGTCTACATTATACACGAGCAGTATATGTAGACACATGTAAGCAGTGGCATGGTGCGAGGCGTCCTGCAAAAGAAATAAAAGTTTAAGGTGAAGTCCGGAAATTGCTTGTTGAGTCATGCCACTGTTGACGGAAGAGCATCCACTGGAGGGGACTCTAGAACAGTGGTTCTTAATCTTCACTGCAGCCTGCACCCCTGTGGTTCTCAGAAAGGGCATCTCGCACCCCAGGGGATTCGTGAATCACTGCTCTAGAGGGTGCAAGGCCTACTCTTCCACGCTGACCAGACATCTTTGACTGAGAATGGAGGGCAAAAATGTGCGACGCAGAGACTTTGGCCGGCCATCGTGCCGTTTTTACGTTCATGCATGCCGATCGGTGCATTCATTACCAACATTCCAATGCAAACTACGAGACTGGGGGTTCATGCAGGACACAGTCCCAATGAGGTCTTACCTGAAGGGCATGGCCCGAAAGATGCTGGTGGCATGTACGGAGGGCAGAACGACGTCAAAAAGCGGAGCAACGGACATGACAACACAGCGAGGGATAGTGCCGAGCCAAGACCAGCAATCGGTGGGGATTTTTTTAGTTGACATGGCTTCTGATCACAGACCCAAAAGCCAAAAATATGTATCAAACGTAGGTAAAAGATAAAATAAAATAAATGAAAACTAAATAAAATCACGACGTTTCGGGCGCAACACAAGCGTCCTTCTTCAGGTGGGGACAACGTAGCGGAAGCACAACCGCTTAAGTGTGTCTAAGAGATGGCTGTGACGAGGAATTATATAATCGCGGGAGATGGAGGGAGGGGGGGCCATGGTGAGTGTGTGGGCTGGCTGTGGACTGTCCACAGTATGAGCTCCATGTGTTGCCTCCCAGCGTCCCCCCCCCGTGCTTCACAACGCTGCCTCCTAGTCCACAGCCCGCCCACACACTCACCATGGCCCCCCCTCCCTCCATCCCTCGCAACTATATAATGACTCGTCACAGCCATCTCTTAGACACACTTAAGCGGTTGTGCTTTCGCTACGTTCTCCCCACCTGAAGAAGGACGCTTGTGTTGCGCCCGAAACGTCGTGATTTTATTTAGTTGTTACCTACGTGACTTTACCGAAAAAACCAAACAGTATGAATCCTTGCAGTCACGACAGCTTCAAATCTAGAATGTATCAAACGGCCAGTGATAAAAAGCACTGTGACAGTTGTAAGAAGAGTTAACGGAATTGAGGTTATAAGAGCTTGAGAAACGAGATAATGGAACAGAATTCCCAATTGGAGCAGTCAAGAGGGAAGAGGTAAAGACAAAAGTGTTGTGACTTCAGTATGGCGAGCGAGTGGGTGAATGAGCGAGTGAATGGGTGGATGAGTGGGTGAAGGAGTGTCTGATTAGGTGCGTCTTGGGGAAAGCGAAATCCCTCAGTCCAGATAACATCATGAGGCAAGGTGGGGATGACCCTGCTGGGGCTGCGGTGCCTCACATATTGCAATAATCATTCACCCACTTTGAGTGGCTGGCTGGGGTGCCATCTGTTGAGGAGTTCCAGAGCCTAAGACCAGGAAAAGCGATGGGAAGAGATGATCTCCCAAGCAAACTGTTGAGAGGCGTTTGTGTACAGACTGCCCTATAGAACACCATGACAACAGTCTGGACCACTGGACAGGTTCCACAGGATTGGAAGGATGCCCTGGTGGTCCCCCTCTTTAAGAAAAGTGACTGCACAGATTGTAACAATGACAGGGAAAGGCCCTGGCAAGGATTATTCAACATCGTCTTGCCAGGCACACTGAGGACAGGTTTGCTGAGCCCAAATGTGGTTTCAGTCCAGGGAGGTCCTTCACGGATGCCATATTCTCTGTCCGCCAGCTACAGTAGAGATGTAGGGAATACCAACGGAACCTATAGCTCTGCTTTATTCACCTGATCAAGGCCTATGATAACATCAATAGGCCGGGCTCTGTGTTGTTGTTCGTGTTTTCGGATTCCCTGACTCTGCTCACAATCATTATGGACCTTCATGATGGTGGGCAGGCCTGGGTAATGCTACGTGGCTGGGAGTCAGAGTCATTTCCTGTTCACCTTGGAGTACGACAGGGATATCCTCTAGCACCTACATTATTTTACACATTTTTGGACCACGTAGTTTGAGAAGCTTTCCATGGCTGTACTAGAGGAATGACCAACTGCTACAAATACAATGGGAGGCTGATTGATGTCCAGGTGCGGTCGAGGGATGGTTCCCTCTTGGTCACCCATGTTATGTATGCTGATGATCTGGTGATTACTGCTCACTCAGAGGAGTCGGATACTCTGCTGCTGAATGTGGAGCCTGTTTCAAAGAGGTCGGGCCTTACCATTAGCCTTACTAAAACTAAGCATTTGCCTAAGTATATTGTGCCATCAAACACTCCACCCCCTAAACTTCCCATTGGTGATGGGGCAGTTGTGGAGAGAGTGGAGAGGTATTTGTAGATGGGCAGTATGCTTATGATAACAGAAGTCTCACTCTAAATCAGTCGGGTAGCATTATCTTTTCATCGACCGCGTAACGCTGCGTGGTAGCAAACAGGTCTGTCACTCCACATAAAGCTTCGGGCCTTCTCGGCCAGTCATGCCGTCCCTTCTCTATGCTTGCCAAACATGGAACATCTATGCCGGTAAGAAGCATTCAGGCTGGCCTACCTATGATCCACCATGAGTGTAACTAGGCTGGATTGTGTGAAAAGTTCACAAATCCTTGAAAGATCTGGACACAGTCCCATCAGGCAAGGCTGCGTTAGCTGGTGCATGTAGCCCGCATGCCCAGCGACCTATGTCCAACCAACTTTTGTTTGGCTGGATAAACGGGGTTAAATGGGCACGGCACGGGCTAGAGAAAAGATGGACTGATGTGGTACAGGAGGATATGGAGCTGAGTGGACTTGCTGATGGCCTATACAAGCGGTGCCAAGATCGGCCTCTGTGGAGGAGGCATGTGAAGGAAGCTACTGGGCAATTGGAGGTAGTCATCCTCGACGCTCACAGGTGGTGCATCTGCCAGTCATCTCACTCAGTCAACCCATGGCACCTGGGTCTGTCCTATGACCTGCCAGCGAGCCTTCATAATTTCGCGTGGCCTCAAAGTGCATATAGCCTGGCACAAGTCCAGTGGTGATGTCACCGCCATTTCGTTGGGAATGGCGGTTGTTGTTGTGACATACGGTATTGTGGTTGAACACGATATGAATGACATGAAAGAGTTGGGCTGGTAGACCAAGACCTCTCAGCATGGGCGGAGGAATTAACAAGTGAAATTCAGGGGAATAGTAACCATGATAGGAGTGATAGAAGAGTGATATGGAGGTGACTGACCACCGACAAGCAAGAAGCCAGAGTGAATCAGAATCTTTATTTAGACTGGAGGAAGCCGATGAGCCATGAGGCTCGTTTTCACAGATGTCCAATTGGGGCAGGTGAGCAAGTTCCAACAGAAAATCAGTGAGTGCTGGATCATCAATCACCCCACTAGTGGCCCAACGTTTTCTTGTGTGGACTAATGCTAGTGGAAAAAAACATGACTCTTCCAGAAGGCAGTGTTGGCTGATGGGATGTATAAAAACAAACCACTTAAAAATGTTGTATAGGGACAGATATGTAAAATAAAAACATATTTTCTGCTTATTTATTTCGTTGCTTCCAATTCTCCACAATGATGACCGTAAACATGTTGTGATACTGGTAGGAACCTCCTGGTTACACCAGCACACAGGGGATTCTGGGTGGGGAGGGGCTGGTCACCCCATGGTGCCCTTAAACGTTTAACCTACTCACGCCGGCTTGTGCCCGCCCTCACAGTCGGCCATATTTGCGGAATACACCACGCCGCCGTTGACCCTGGCCATTGACCGAGCAACCCAACGTTCCTACCAGCTCCCTCCGCAGGAATGTGTTCCTCTCTGAGGAATTGGGGGGCGAGTGTCCAGCGAGCCGACTCACTTGACGTCACCGAGCCTGCGTGTGAGTGCCGAGCCCACAGTGGAAATGGCCGACGTGGTTTTCTGTCCGGCTGTGCTGAGTGTCTCCGATGTGCGCTTATACCTACGTCAACAAAAGGTGTCGGGCAACAAAATGGGCAAACATAAGACAACACAAAAAAATATACTTAGCTAGCACAAGAAGCAAAGCTACGTGTTTTCTACGTGCGAGTGTACATGTGTGTATGAGGGTATGTGTATCAGAGGTGGGACAAAGTCATTGTTATGCAAGTCCAAGTCGAGTCTGAAGTCATCAAATTCATGACTCGAGTCTGACTCGAGTCCAAGTCACATGACTCGAGTCCACACCTCAGAGGTGGGACAAAGTCATTGTTATGCAAGTCCAAGTCGAGTCTGAAGTCATCAAATTCATGACTCGAGTCTGACTCGAGTCCAAGTCACATGACTCGAGTCCACACCTCAGAGGTGGGACAAAGTCATTGTTATGCAAGTCCAAGTCGAGTCTGAAGTCATCAAATTCATGACTCGAGTCTGACTCGAGTCCAAGTCACATGACTCGAGTCCACACCTCTGATGTGTATGTATGTGTTTGGGTGTATATGTGTATGCAAGTTACCCGCGCTTCGATACGTAGGCTTTAGCGACCAATATTATTCATAACAAAGGTTTTTTGGGTCAGATCGCGTAAGTATAAATGTGTCTTTAACCAGCCATCACCCGACACAGCCAACCAATAATGTTTGTCAGGGAAACAAAACATGACAATTAGTTACTACTTCAGCCAATCACTTACAACTACTATTATGAAATGACTTGCAGTTTAGTTATTTAATAATATATATTAATATTATTTGTTGTAAGTTAATGATATCCCTCCTCTATTTTTTTCAAGTAACAGTGTTAATATGCGTGTGGGTTTGTCTAAATGGATGGGTTTCACACGATTCGAAGGATGCCCTGGTGGTCCTCATTTTTAAGAAGGACCACACTGAATGCAACAACTATCCGGGCATTCCCCTCCTAAGTGTGCCGGGAAAAGTCCCGGCAAGGATTATTCTACATAGCCTTGCCAGACATGCTGAGGAGAGGCTTGCGGGGCCCCAATGTGGCTTTAGATCGAAGTGGTCCTACATTGACGCCATTTTATGTCAGTCTGCTACAGCAGAAACGTACAGAATGTCAAGAGGACATACATCTCTGCTTTATTGACCTGGTCAAGGCCTATGATACCATCAATAGGCAAGGGCTCTGGGTTATTCTTCATGCTTTCAGAGTTCCAGACCCTCTGTTCACAACTATTAAGGACCTTCATGATGGTGGGCAGGTCTGGGTAAGGGCAGGCCTGGGTAAAGTCAGGTGGCTGGGTGTCGGAGCCATTTTCTTTTCACCTTGGGGTGGGACAGGGATGTCCTCTGGCACCGACACTATTTAACATCTTCTTTGGACACGTAGTTTGAGATGTACCAGTGGCATTTTCATCTGGTATATACACAATAGGAGGCTGATTTATGCCAGAGTGCAGTCAAGGGATGGCTCCCTATTGGTCAACCATTTTATGTATGTGGATAATCTGGTGATTGCTGCCAACTCTGAGGAGTTGAACCTGGAGCATGCTACTAAGAGATGAGACTTTACAATCAGCCTCACAAAAACAAAGCACCTGCCTGGGTATTTTATGCCGTAAAATACTCCTCTCCCTCAACTTGCTATGAGTGTTGGGTCTGATGTGGACAGAGTTGAGAAGTTTCCATACTTGAGCAATGTGCTTATGACCAGCTCCAGTTTTACAGCAGAGGTCTCACTCCAAATTAGTTGAGTGGCATTATATTTTCATCAGCTGCATAACACTGTGTGAAAACCACCTGATCTATGCTCCAGGTTTTCTCAACCAAAGGCATGGGCTAGAGAAGAGATGGAGTGATGTTACAGAAGAATGTGGAGCTGATTGCACCTAGCATGGCACAATAACCACGGTGACATCACTTAGTAGTGAACGGCGGTTGTTGTTGTTTTATTTGTATGTATATGTGTGTATGTATGTTTGTATACGTGTCATCACGTCTGCTATGTATATGTGTGAGTAAATGTGTATGTATGTGTACGCATTATTACAGAATGTGTTTGCTATATACGTGTCAACTGACATCAAGGGATTTATTATGCAGCCAAAATATTTTGTTATATCAATACAATTGATCAAATACATATTTTCACCGCCGGCCGGCACAGACAGCGGTGCATGAGCGCACAAAGCTTACGCGGTGGAGGCTTGGACGTCCTGCATGAGGCCCGACACGGTCTGCCAGGACAGCGGTGTCATGCCCAACGATCGCTTGATGCTCCACACGCGCTGCTCTTTAGCCAACAGCACTTGGCGCAGAGTAGCCACCTCCTCTTCCACCTGCCCATGTAAAAAGGAGCACACGGGTTATCATATATGGTAAAATCTCAGTTAGCCAGAATTTGCACTGGACCACAATTTGCACTTAACTGGACCAGGCTGTCTAATTATAACACATTTTATAGAATGTATTTTAAATTCTTTATTTTTTTTACAAACAGTTACTGAGGACAGGTCAAGAGGCCAAACACGTCAAGCGCGAAGCAACAAAGAGCACTATCAAAGTTGTAACAGGCAAGATACTCTTTGATTCTTTAGGTAAAGTCACGTCGGTAGAAAAAAAATGAATATCACGACGTTTCGATCGCAACACAAGCGGTCGTCCTCAGGCGGAAAAAATAATCCAGCAGTAGAACTGCTGAACCAGGAAGAACACTGAGAGAGCTGTTACAACAAGAGGTTATATATGTGGCGAAGGGCAAGCAGGCGGGGTCTGAACTGGAAAATAAATCCATCCCCGCACACAAGCACGTCAGTTGTGTTAATGGGGGAGATTAGGGAAAGAGATTAGCATGAAATGAGCTTCCATCGCTGCATAAGAGTATCGTCCCAGCATATGGCACAACAGCAATGTTAATGGGAGATTAGCACTATGTTGATGGGAGAGATCAGCAAGTGAATGTCATGTCTATGTGTAACACAATCTGCGGCGCTGCCAACTGCGCTGTGAGAGGCAAGTGCGTCAACGCAAGAGAGCCACCGCAACGATGGTCGCGCCAGTGAGACACACAGCCCATCACACAGCCAGAACCATCGATACATCGAGGCTAAGGGAGCAGAAGTGGCCATGTTAGTGAGACCCCAGTCCGTTAATGCAGAGGCTCCCAACAGGGCAATGCAACTCAGAGAGTTGGAGATAACAGCCAGGTAAGAGTTTAACACATTTTTTCAATCGAGCAAGGTTCTAAAACTTGGGGAAAAAGGGATGATGGGAGGGAATTCTAAAGTGGAGCAGATCAAGATAAGCGGCAGAAAGAGAAGTGTTTTTTTTATCTGCAGTGTGGTGAATTTAGTTAGACGAGCCAGTGGGTGGGTGGTTGAGTTCTGTTTCGGTCTGCAATATGGTGGTTGAACACAGGATGGATGAGACAAAGTCTAGTAGGCCAAGCCCTCTACATGGGTGGAGGAATCAACAAGTAAAGTTCACTGGAACAGTAACCATTATGGTAACGACATGAGAATGATAAGGAGTCATCTTCTTGGTTCTTTCAGTAAAGTCACGTAGAAGGGAAGTAATAAAATAATAAAAATAAAACATAATAAAATAATTTTCACGACGTTTTGGCCGAAACGTCGTGAGAATTATTTTATTATGTTTTATTTTTATTATTTTATTACTTCCCTTCTACGTGACTTTACCGAAAGAACCAAGAAGATGAATCCCTGCAGTCACGAAAGCTTTAAATCGAAATGATAAGGAGGTGAATGACTGCCAGCGAGTGAGTGAGCGACTGGAGAAAATAAGCCAGTGCTGGATCATCAATAAACCCGACTGCTTTACTTAAATTAAATCAATTAAATTAAATACAGTTAAGTAGGAACTGGGTGCTCTATCGCAGCGCTGCCGCGGTGGTCCAGTTTACTCCAGTGACCCGGGTGCTGCTGCGGGGTCCACTTACTGCCCCCCCCCCCTTCTGTCTCCCCCCCTACTGCCGAGGCCTACTATACACTACACTATACACTACACTGTACACTACACTGTACACTACTATACACTACACTATACACTACACTATACAACCTCGTGCCACGGCAGATCTCACGCCTACTTCAGCAGTTTCTTCTTGCTGTGGTTGTCCCACCTGATGACGATTGCTTGTGTTGCGATCGAAACGTCGCGATCTATTATTTTTCTACCAACGTGACTTTACCGAAAGAACCAAAGAGTACAGTACTTATTTCAATTGTGGTGCATCTATTTTTGGTTGCTGTGTACCTCACCCCATTATTTAGGTAATGCTTAAGCATTGGATATCGCTGTTTTGGTTTTCGCGGCACTTTCTAAAAATGAAACCCCCACGGATATTCAAAGGTCTCCTTTACAGCTCTTTGTCAGAAGCGACCTGGCCACAAATGATAGCTCAAAGAATTGGCTTACCATGTGGACATTTATCATAGCAAAATACTCTAAACGCATGTTTCTAAATGTGCAGAGAAAACCGGACGATCCGGAGAAAGAACCACGCAACCACAGGGAGAACATGCAAACTCCTATAAACAAAATATAATAATGAAGAGAAATCAGATAAAATGTAAAAAAAAACAATGCACATATATAAATCGATATTAAATACATTTCCTAAAATGGCAGTTGGCTTGGTGTTTTAAAAACCATTCATAATAACGTTACATAAAGTTAAGTTACAGACACACGAAAAAATGTTGGGGTGTTTATTGCACAAGTAAATAAACAGACAATGACATTATGGCAAATAATGTAATTACTGAAGAAAACACACAGTGGGAGACAAAACAGGCCGTTGTGAAACGCTAAATGATGAAGATATCAGATTGATTACCATCAACTACTGTACGTAGACTTTAATTCATAATGAAGCTTTTTGGGTAGAATCACATAAATATAAATGTGCCACGAACTCACCTACACCCAAAACAGCCAATAAGTAAGGTTTTTCACGTGAACAAAACGTGCCAATTAAATATTGACTTAAAGCTTTCGTAACTACAGGAATTCATATTCTTTGGGTCTTTTGGTAAAGTCACGTAAAAAGAAAAAAAACAATAAAATAATTAAAACAAAAATGAAAATAAAATGAATAAAAAAGAATACAAATATCCCGACGTTTCCATCGCAACACAAGCAATCGTCATCAGGAGAAAAAAGAGGGGGAAAGCTGCTGAGGCAGGCTGTTTTTAAAGGTTTGAAATGGGTGTAGCCCAAGGGTCAAGAACAAAGTGGGCGGGGCTAGTGATGTTAAAGCGAGAGATTAGCATGTCAACGTAAGGTCGTAGAGCCACCTCCACCACGAGGGTGCAGAGGTGGCCATTGCATTGTGAGAGATTAGCATGTCAACGTAAGGTCGGAGAGCTACCTCCACCACGAGGGTGCAGAGGTGGTCATTGTATTGTGAGAGATTAGCATGTCAACGTAAGGTCGTAGAGCCACCTCCACCACGAGGGTGCAGAGGTGGCCATTGCATTGTGAGAGATTAGCATGTCAACGTAAGGTCGGAGAGCTACCTCCACCACGAGGGTACAGAGGTGGCCATTGTATTGTGAGAGATTAGCATGTCAATGTAAGGTCGTAGAGCTACCTCCACCACGAGGGTGCAGAGGTGGCCATTGTATTGTGAGAGATTAGCATGTCAATGTAAGGTCAGAGAGCCACCTCCACCACGAGGGTGCAGAGGTGGCCATTGTATTGTGAGAGATTAGCATGTCAACGTAAGGTCGTAGAGCCACCTCCACCACGAGGGTGCAGAGGTGGCCATTGCATTGTGAGAGATTAGCATGTCAACGTAAGGTCGGAGGGCTACCTCCACCACGAGGGTACAGAGGTGGCCATTGTATTGTGAGAGATTAGCATGTCAACGTAAGGTCGGAGAGCCACCTCCACCACGAGGGTGCAGAGGTGGCCATTGTATTGTGAGAGATTAGCATGTCAACGTAAGGTCGGAGAGCTACCTCCACCACGAGGGTGCAGAGGTGGCCATTGTATTGTGAGAGATTAGCATGTCAATGTAAGGTCGGAGAGCTACCTCCACCACGAGGGTGCAGAGGTGGCCATTGTATTGTGAGAGATTAGCATGTCAATGTAAGGTCGGACAGCTACCTCCACCACGAGGGTGCAGAGGTGGCCATTGTATTGTGAGAGATTAGCATGTCAATGTAAGGTCGTAGAGCTACCTCCACCACGAGGGTGCAGAGGTGGCCATTGTATTGAGAGAGATTAGCATGTCAATGTAAGGTCGGAGAGCCACCGCCACATCGACGACACGAGCGACGGCAGCTGTGCAGAAATGATTCCTTGTAAAAGGTTTCAGTTTGGTGTTTTAACATCTTAACACGTGTTTTGTTGCCAGAAAAAAGGGGAAAACCTATTCTCAAAATAAAAATAGTTTTAGTTTTTACAATCAGCTTCATCAGGCGAATGGCAGAATTGTGAAGAAGTCTTATTTTTTCCCAGTCTTAAATAGAATAAGAAGATGTCATCACTGCGCGCCTACAAGTATGAAGCATGCAGGGAGGTTAATTTTGCCCTTAATCATGGACCCAAAGCGTGCGGCGAGTGGTGAAGGTAAGAGTGGCGTTGTGTCTGTGGCCCGGAGAAAGAGTGGGAGGGGAGGCTCCTTCTAACCAACCTTTTCTCCATCACCTCATTGTCATCATCATCGTTAATATTAAAGGTATGTAAAGTCAATTTCATGTTTATTTATGCTTTATTATGTTGTTGTGTAATGTACTGTATTTTAGTCGGTGTTTAGTTAATACACAGGCAAGTTAGTTATGCTATGACTAGCTGTGGCTGTGGTTCCCCTATTTCCCGTAGGCCCTGTACTAAACCAACCATGGATTTGCCTACCATAGCATTTTTCAGAAACCTAACCTCTGCGGTTGGCAAGGGATTGCTGTATGCGTGTTTTGTGTCATTATCTTGGTGTTGTGTACATGGGCCATGGTCTGGTGTGTTTTTATATAGAATAAGGGTGTTGTGTGCAGGGCAGGTGCTGTGTGTCGTTGGTAAGATACTAAATGGTTCGTGGTGTTATATTACAGCTACGTCTATCTTGTTCAAGACTAATTAGATCATCTGTTGTAATTGAGACAAATAATATATGTTTAACCGTTCTCATAGCTATAGCCTTAGTACTGCTTGGAAGCGTATTATTACGTAAGAACAGAAACAATCATGAAAGTACTTTTTTTTAAATAGACGTAGCTGTAATAGAACACCACAAACCAGTTATTATCTTGCAAACAATACACAGCTCGTGCCCTACACACCACACCCTTACTTTATATAACAACAAACCAGACCATGAGCCATGTACACAACACTACACTGAAATAAAAAAGCAAACAAAATGCGCTGTGCGTTGTTTGTAAGATACTAAATGGTTAGGGTGTTAAACAACACAAAACCACACCAACACGCACACTGGTTCCTGCACGCAACACAAACCCCGTGAATTCCACGCATATGTATGTCATATTTTTTGGGTCTTTCGGTAAAGTCACGTAGATAGGTTCAAAGAAAATACCAAAAAACTACGACGTTTCGATCGCAACACAAGCGGTCGTCTTCAGGAAAAGGGGGGTTAGTTTCCAAGGTAAACTGTTTATAAGGGTTTGAATGGGCGTAGCCCAAATGTCAGCAGCCAATGGTAATGCAAGTGGTGGGCAGTCAAACCGACGGTGGTTGGTTTTCCACCAATCAATGGGCTGCCAGGTGAAAATGAGATTAGCATGTTCATGGGAGATTAGCATGTTAATGGGAGATTAGCATGTTAATGGGAGATCTCAGAGCTGCAACTGAGGGGAAGTCGTCGCACAAAGTGGCTGTGTTGGTGTGAAGCTTGTGAAATGGGCATAAAGCACAACTAACATCGGAAGGTGGTAGGATGGGAACATCATAGCCAGTTATGATTTAAACTGGTTGATAACGTCCTTCCAATGATTGCTCAGTTTGTATCCATCTTCTAGGTTGAAATTGTATCTGTATCTATATCTTTGTTGATAGCTAGTGAGTTTGCAAAGTACTTTCGTCTTAGAGAAATCAATTTCGTGTTATCCCACCGCATTAAAACAACAATTTAAGTAATAATATTGATTAACATGCACCGTATAATTTAATATTAAGATAATCCATTCTAAATTATATTAACACCCCTGAGTGTGGGAGGCAGGCGACGACTTCGCTTACCTTGGCCAGCTCCAGCGTGAGCAGCTCTCGCTCCTCTTCGGTGAGCGTCGTGGTCGTCGCCACCTCGCCACCAGAGAGAGCATCGCCTCTGCCCTCGTCACAGACCTGTGGCCCCCTCTCACCCTCCTTTCCTTCCGGAGAGACGAATTTATTCGGCGAGCCGAGACTCACATCTATGGAAAGGTCACATACACACACGCACGAACACACAGTCACATATCTGCGAGCACATTTATTATACACGTGCGTGCCCAAGACTGGTCAGATGGCTCAATCAAAAGATGAACTACCAATCAAATTCTACTTTGGAGTTAATTCAGCCCAACTGGACACCTTTATTAATTTATTTTCCGTAACATAGAACGTTTCTTGCCAGTATCAAAGTATAAAAACAAGTTTAACTTTTTTGGCAATAATACAGGCGTTAAGCTGTTCAAACAACAAAATACAATTTTTGCAAGGAATGATGTCTGCATTAACCACACATACCAGTGGTGAACATGCAAAAAAAAAACATGCTCTGATCTATATATATAAAATCGTTCATGTCTGTCTGTCTGTGTGTGTGTGTGGACTTTGGCCCATACGCACTTTCATTGGACGGCGGTTGCCCCTGGCAACGGCTAGCCACGCCTTCGCCGCTTTCATTGGACCTGGCAACGGCTAGCCACGCCTTCGCCAAGGGCTGCAGTTTCATTGGACGGCGGTTGCCCCTGCCAACGGCTAGCCACGCCTTCGCCACTTTCATAAGCTCCGTATTTAATTAAATAATATCCATTACACAGTATTGTTGGAGCGCTAGGGGGGGGGGAAGGAACGCCACCCGTACCCTGCCTCTTCCAAGCCGACAATTTTAGGCGAGGCCGCAGGCTTTGCACGCTACTAGGCCTCGACACCCACCACGCCACTCTGAGGTAAATCCATCAAAGTTTTTCCTACTCTTCACTACACCCCCACCACAATGTGTGCTATTAATATTACTTTTAAACCCAACGCGCCAACAATCGATTACTTTAATGTTCACTGTACAAATACTCATTAAGCTGGGTGAGCGTACTGCCAGTCTATCATGTACACTGTAGCCTGCTTATTAAGCTCGGTGAGCGTACTGCCACTCTATCATGTACACTCTAGCCTGCTTATGAAGCTGAGTGCGTGTACTGGCAGTCTATAATGTGGACTCTTGCCTGGTTATTATAATCGATTATTTATATGTTCTTTGTACAAACAGTCATTAAGCTGCTTGAGCGACCCCAGTTCGATTCCAACTCACGCCCACCACCGCTGACGATTATTTGAAACGGACCTGGCCCTCCCATAGGTCCACTCAGCCTCAAAAGCGTAACTGCTGTCGTGTGTGAACATCGTCACTGGGGAGACAAAGGCGGCGGGGCATCGTGGATCCAAGTCCCGGGCGAAGCCGGGTCATGTGTATGTGTGTTTGTGTTTATGTGTATGTCTGTGTGTCTCTATGTATGTGTGTATGTATGTGTATGTATGTGTTTGTGTGTATGTGTGTGTGTGTATGTATGTGGGTTTTTTTTATGTCTTTATGTGTATGTCTGCGTGTCTCTATGTATGTGTGTATGTACGTGTGTGCATGTGTTTGTGTGTATGTATGTGTGTGTCTATGTATGTGTGTGTCTATGTATGTGTGTGTATGTGTGTGTATGTATGTGTGTTATGTGTCTGTCTGTGTCTGCATGTATGTGTGTGTGTATTGTGTATGTGTTTGTGTGCATGTATGTGTGTGTTTGTGTGTATGTGTATGTCTGTGTGTATGTGTTTGTGTGTATGTGTGTGTATGTATGTGTGTGTATGTGTTTGTATGTGTTTGTGTGTTTACGCTCGCATTACACAAATGTGTTGCTGGTCTAAGGCGTTCCTCGCACAGCATTGCCGCTTTATTATTTCAGTCGTTTACTGCCTTACGCACCCTGAAAGTCGTGTGTGTCTGCAGCAAGCGCGTGTATGTGTACCTATGGACGCGCGCGCGTGTGTTGTGTAGGGGGAACGGTAGTGTAGTGCTTAGCGTGCTGTCTGTGTCTGTGTGTGTGTGTGTCTGTCTGTGTGTGTCTGCGTGTGTCTGTGTGTGTGTCTGTGTGTGTGCGTGTGTGGTGTGTGGGGAGCGGTAGTGTAGTGCTTAGCGTGCTGTCTGTGTGTCTGTGTGTGTGTGTGTCTGTCTGTGTCTGTCTGTGTGTGTCTGCGTGTGTCTGTGTGTGTGTCTGTGCGTGTGTGGTGTGTGAGGAGCGGTGGGTGTAGTGCTTAACGCTACGCTGCGCTACCAACCCGGCGAACCCAGTTCCATTCCCGCTCACGGCCACCACCGGTGACGATTATTTGAACCTCCCCTAGGTCCACTCAGCCTCAAACGAGTAACTGGTGTGGCGTATTAACATCGGCACTTGGGAGACAAAGGCGGCTGGGCGTGGTAGATCCAAGTCCCGGGCGAAGCCGGGTCATGTGTATGTGTTTATGTGTATGTCTGTGTGTCTGTATGCATGTGTGTATGTATGTGTGTGTATGTGTTTGTGTGTATGTCTGTGTGTGTATGTATGTCGGTTTTGCCGCCGTGGTGGATCCAAGTCCCCGGGCGAAGCCGGGTCATGTGTATGTGTGTATGTGTTTATGTGCATGTGTTTGTGTGTATGTATGTGTGTGTGTATGTATGTGGGTTTTTTTGTATGTGTTTATGTGTATGTCTGCGTGCCTGTATGTATGTGTGTATGTACGTCTGTGGATGTGTTTGTGTGTATGTATGTGTGTGTCTATGTATGTGTGTGTATGTGTTTCTGTGTTTGTATGTGTGTGTATGTATGTGTGTTATGTGTCTGTCTGTGTGTCTGCATGTATGTGTGTGTGTATTGTGTATGTGTTTGTGTGTGTTTGTGTGTTTACGCTCGCATTACACAAATGTATAATGCGGGTCTAAGGCGTTCCTTACACAGCATTGCCGCTTTATTATTTCAGTCGTTTACTGCCGTATGCACCCTGAAAGTCGTGTGTGTCTGCAGCAAGCGCGTGTATGTGTACCTATGGACGCGCGCGCGTGTGTTGTGTAGGGGGAACGGTAGTGTAGTGCTTAGCGTGCTGCCTGTGTCTGTGTGTGTGTGTCTGTGTGTGTGTCTGTGTGTGTGTCTGTGTGTGTGCGTGTGTGGTGTGTGGGGAGCGGTAGTGTAGTGGTTAGCGTGCTGTCTGTGTGTGTGTTTCTGTCTGTGTGTGTCTGCGTGTGTCTGTGTGTGTGTCTGTGTGTGTGTCTGTGCGTGTGTGGTGTGTGAGGAGCGGTGGGTGTAGTGCTTAACGCTACGCTGCGCTACCAACCCGGCAAACCCAGTTCGATTCCCGCTCACGGCCACCACCGGTGACGATTATTTGAACCTCCCCTAGGTCGACTCTGCCTCAAACGAGTAACTTAACTACTGTAGCGTATTAACATCGCCACTGGGGAGACAAAGGCGGCCGGCCGTGGTAGATACAAGTCCCGGGCGAAGCCGGGTAGTACAGCTAGTAATTATATATGCATGGTCTTTGAAACTGATTGGTCTACATCAGAGACAAGAGCCTTCTTTAGGGCCTTGTATCAACCAGTGTTAGACCAGAGAACGTCAAAATTCGAAAGCAAAAAGGCCCTTTGCCCTACGGATATGTCAAGTTTCACATTAACTTGCTTAATCAGTAAAATAAACTTACGATTAACCTGGGTCACCAAAATGACAAAAGTCGAAAACTTAAATTTGGAGCACAACATTGGATCAGGGCGAAGACAACCAATCAGTTCAAAAACAACCGCATGACGGAAGAAATTGAAAACATTATAACACGACGCATAAATAAACGTCGAAATAAATTGGCTGCAACGAAAGTCGGCTTGGGAAATGTGGACTTACAAAACGAGTTCATAGGCTGTTACTCAATTGTGTCTCTTGTTTTTACATCTCATTACTGCTTATGGCGCCATTGTCATGATAATAAGAAGTCATCTTCTTGGTTCTTTCGGTAAAGTCACGTAGAAGGGAAATACTAAAATAATAAAAATAAAACATAATAAAATAACTCTCACGACGTTTCGGCCACAACGCAAGCAGCCGTCATCAGGTGAAGACCAGGTCTGTCGGGGAGACAGCGTCTATTTTATTATTTCCCTTCTACGTGACTTTACCGAAAGAACCAAGAAGATGAATCCCTGCAGCCACGAAAGCTTTAAATCGAAATAATAAGTCATTCGGAATTCTCGCAAGCTGCGCATCAACCCGACCGACGTGAACGGACATCACTGAACTCCTCCATGGAAAAAAACTAATTACCTCATAGCCGCAATAGGGCGCACCATAGATGGCATTTAATCAAACTTGCCATCCGTACTCTATACGTACTGCTATTGCTTTCTTACGTGGAGTCATCGGTGACCGGATTGTTGGGACTATATAAAGAAAACGATTGTTAGTTTATATACGGCGGGATATGAGGAATTGTATCACAAAACGCTGCGCAATCCGCAAAATAAACGGGAGGCGCATTCTCGTGAGACGTTTTCAACCGAATCACGATTCAGTTGCTGCCCTACGCCTGGCCGCCCTCACTCCAGCGGACGACGCAGCGCAGAACATTATCATCACGGCACACCAATCACCATACATCATCATCATCATCACCGCACATCACCATTACTGCCACCATCATCACCACCATCATCACCACCACCACCATCATCATCATCACCACCATCATCATCATCACCACCATCATCACCATCACCGCACACCACCATCATCACCGCACACCACCATCATTATCACCACCATCATCATCACCACCATCATCATCATCACCGCACACGCCACGTCCCACCACCATCACCACCATCACCACCACCATCAACAACAACCGCCATTCGCCACTAAGTGGCGGTGACGTCACCACGACGCTTGTGCCAGGCCAAGTGCACCTTGAGGCCACGTGAAGTGTCGAACGCCCGCTGGCAGGTCACCACCATCATCACCACCACCATCACCACCATCACCACTATCACCACCACCATCACCACCACCATCAACAACAACAACAACCGCCATTCGCCACTAAGTGGCGGTGACGTCACCACGACGCTTGTGCCAGGCCAAGTGCACCTTGAGGCCACGTGAAGTGTCGAACGCCCGCTGGCAGGTCACCACCATCATCACCACCACCATCATCACCATCATCACCACCATCACCACCACCACCATCATCACCACCATCATCACCACCACCACCATCATCATCACCACCGCCATCCTCATCATCACCACCATCATCATCACCATCATCATCACCACCACCATCATCATCACCACCATCCTCATCATCACCACCATCATCATCACCACCACCATCATCACCACGCCACGTCCCACCACCACCACCACCCCGCCTTGGTCTCTAACCGCACCTCGCGTCACATCTTCACCACGCCGCGCTCGCCACCACCGATGTCTCTCTACAGAGGCAGTCGAAGTCGTGCCTCGTGTTACAATTCCACCTGCCAGGTGGTCACAGCCAGAATACTGCACAGGCAGCAGACGCGGCCGCCTGCTGCCTGTGAGTACCTGGCACGTGAGATTGTAGTTGCTGCTCTGCATCGACATCAGCAACCGGACAAAATAAGAAGCCCTTTTTTGCAAGTATCAAAGTATGGCAATGACACAGTTTGCGTGAGCATCTTAACACCTTTTTTATTGGCGGTATATGGGTAAAACCCGATTCTTTATGTCTATATAAGAGGTACCTTGTTCGGCGGCTTCCATACCGGCAACTCTTCTCCGTCGCAGGTTAATCACCGCCTGTTTATACTGACTAACGATGTGTGTATATTCGTGCTGTTGAACTTTTAGGACGATTATCTCCACTCCGATCACTCAACGCAGCTGCTACGAGTACAGTAGCGTACAGTGCAGATGCAACGCGATGTACACATCCGCATAGCCGGCGATATGACGTCACCGCGCGCCATCCCACGACATGACGTCATCGCGCACAAACCAGGCGACGTGACGTCCCCACAGACACCTCGTGACGTCATTACGCACGCGCTTCAACAACGAAGTTGTGTTTTCAATTCTCGATTTGAAGCTTTGGTGACTGCGAGGATTCATACTCTTAGGTGTTTCGGTAAAGTCACGTAGGTAAAAAATAAAAATAAATAATAATATAAATCATAATAGAAATAAAATAATAAATCACGACGTTTCGGAGGCAACACAAGTCTCCGTCATCAGGTGGGACCGTCACAGCGAGATCTGCTGCATCAAGTGATTTGCTGTATCAAGAGATTTGCTGCATCAAGTGACCCCACAAGGGGCCGCCAAGGCGGTCGGATGGTCCGCGCGCTGTCTTGCACTCGGTGGTGGTCGCCGGTTCGATTTCCCGGCGCGGCAGCTGAGCCAATGGTGCAAGTTTCCTGCTGGAGAAAGAGCTTCACAGCTCATCGGATTCCTCCGGTTTAAATAAAGATTCTGATTGTAAATCTCACCCGCTGCCTCTGCGCCTGCAGGGGTGCAACAATATTATAAATGTGTCCACCGCAGGTAAGCCGATCGGCAGGAAGCGTGGCAATGGCCCAATTCCAACACGTATGGTCGGTGTGGAGGAGACCAAATAGCCTCTAGCGCTCCATCTAGCGGGAGGTCTTCGCCAGCAGTGGCATGAGCAGTCCTTTAAAATACGAAGTTCTTTCCGGTGCAATACTTTCTTTGTTATTTTCCTCTAAAGCCCAAGCAACGTTGCAGGTGCGCCACGTGACGCCAAACACCCTGGGGGCACGGGAAGAGGGAGTGTTGGGTGGGATCAATAATCATTAATAGTTATCTATTTAATAATTATCTCGTATGCCGGCTTCCCATGTACGGCAAGTTCTCGACAACCGCGGGATGGGCTCTGTGCTTGCAAATCTGCGCCATAGAATTCGCGAATGTTGAAGACGGCGTTGAGATTATTTAGCTGATATAAATTTCCACATGATAAGCCACTTCATTGGGCCATCATTTGTGGCCAGGTCACTTATGCAAAAGAGATGTATTAGCTCAGTGGGTCTTACCTGGTAAAATAAAAAAATATCCATAAGAGTGTTTTTGGGGTTAGATCTCGTAAGCATAAATGTGTCGTTAAACCCGCCACCACCCGATACGGCCAATTAATTCAGGGTTGTCACGTAAACAAAACTTGCCCAATTAGTTACTAGTTCAGCACATTAGTGAAAGTAAACCCGCAACATTTACAATTAGAGTACGACATTTCGCTGCTGATTACAACCAGCTTCATCAGGCGATTATCCGGAATAAAAAAGAATGTATTTTTTAGATGGAAAAAGAGGGGTTAAGTTCCCGTATCCGACTGAATAAGGGAGAAAATGAAAATGTTTCAGAACAATACTGTACTGGTCACGTAATTACAATCCATATACTTAAGTAAACTGTACAATAATACAAATATAATAGCACAATCCAACTGAATAAAATAGATAAAAGAAAACATCAATACATTTTCCTGTAAATTTGAAAGTTTAATTTACCTTGGATGATGGGAGTGCGATGATGATGGTGTCGTTGGAGAACAAGCCTATCCAACAACTCTAAAGTTTTCTCCACTCACTTTGCACAAACGTTAACGGCACTTGAACAGTAATGACTTCAGCATGTGGATCGTGGGACAACTGATACAATGGTTTTGGTAATCACATGGACCACTGAGCTATGTAGCTCTTTTTCAGAAGCGATCTGGCTGCAAATCATAGCTCAGCAAAGTGGCTTATCACGTGCACATTTATAGCAGCCGAATACTGTAAACGCATGTTGATTCTAAATGTGGAGGAAAAAAACCTGGATAACCCGGAGAAAAATACACGGCCAAGGGCAGAGAGACATGCAAACTCAAAATATACAGCAGGCGTCAGGGTCAGGATCGAACCCACCCGCTCCTGTATACCAGGCGAGGTAGTCAACATCTTGCCACCGTGTCACCCTGTACTAGCATCCCTCTAGCATGATGCGATGTTGCCCAATTGCGAATTGTCGAAGAAATGTGACTAAATTTCAGGAAGTGTACAAAAATGCATATGATTATCAGTTTATGTGCATTATAATTTATAATAAACACTTGATTAGTTCTAACTTACCAGAGATGGCTGAAGAACTTTGCTGATCGAGGCTTATTGGGGTAAGCAGTAGGGGAGTTATGCAGACGAAGGGGCAGGATCTCCTGCCTCTTCATATGATGATGAAGCTGGAGCCACAGGAACGTTCACCAGAGGAAGCTGCTTCTCTTCTGGGCTCTTCTACAGACCTTCTGGCTCAATGGCGGACCATTTAAAAATCTGTTCAAAGACAGCTGGACAGCATTGTCTTCTGCTGGTACATCTCATTTTAGCAGTGAATGTCACTGGTCAATGTCCTGTTAACTCGACAGCTGCGTCCTTTGGGTCATCCTCTCTGAAAATGTATTTTTGTGCTTCCCAATGAATTAAACCCTCAGATAATCTTTTTAAAGTTAATATTCGTGGTGGTGGTGGGATTGTTTAATCGGCCTCTTCCTCAAATCGTTGTTCCAGCTACATCAGATCCTGATTTGACAGGTCCTCATCACGTTTGACTCCTCCACATTGTCGAGGCCAGTCAGCTTCTTTTGGCCACTCCCACAATGTCACGTATAATTTCTGGCACTGTCTCCTTGAATGCCTTGAAGTTGGTGACACATTTGAGCCGTATTTTTCGCCACACACCATATTTGACACGTGTTTCCTGCTACGACTCCCCTAATGCTGCCAATGGCCGACAGGGCATTGTAGCCACGCTTAAAGTCCCTTGCTGACCTTTTCCACCACACGTCATTTCCCTGATGAGCTGGGAGAAGGTGTGGTATAGAAAATAAGCCTTAAATATGGCGAGAACATCTTGATCCGTAGGTTGCAGCGATGACGTCGTGTTGGGTGGCAGAATCATCGCCTGAACATGTTCGGATAAGTCGTCAAGGTTGAATGACCTGGGACAGGGGTCGACAACCTGCACCTCCAGAGCCGCATGCGGCTCTTCAAGGACTGCTTCGTGCCGTTATTTTATTAAGGACCAGAGTCTCGTATTCACATTAATTCGACATAAATGTCACTTCTTGTTATTTTGGTTGCCGCGTCCTGACCTGGGGCATTGTCCAGGAGAAGCAATGCCAGTTGTTTCGTCGCAATATTCCTTAACAGCTGGGCAGAAATGCGAATTAAACCATTCTTGATAAACTTACCTTGTGACCCAGGCTTGTTTTGTTCGATCGCCAAACAAAATGGAGATGTTCTTTTATATATATTAAAATACTATAATACTATAGAAAATATATTTTACCAGGTAAGGCCCTCTGAGCTTTAGAGATATCTTTCAGAAGCGGCCTGGCCACAAACCATAGCTCAACGAAGTAGCTGAACATGTGGAAATGTATAGCAGCCAAATACTCTCAATGCAAGTTTCTAAATGTGGAGGGAAAACCCTGGGGGGCGGAGAAAATCCACGCGACCACAGGGAGAACATAAAACTCCAAATATACAGCAGGCATACGGGTCTGGAATGAACTTTGGTGTCTCCAAGTGGTAATCGAAAAAAGGGTTGAACTTTAAATCTGAAGTTTTTCCACCCAGCAGAAGAGTGAGGTGATCTTTGGCTGCTTATAAACCTGGAGCAGTCATCTCTTCTACCCAAATAAAGTATTGCTGGCATCCGCTTCTAGTACAGCAAACATTCTCCAGATTTCCCTTCATTAACTCGAATAGTTCTCACTGAGATCGGGGGTCGGCCAAGCATTCTGGCAATTTCGACTACCCTTTCACCTGTTTCAAGAAACTTTTAAACTTCTGATTTGACCTCTAGATTAATACCGCAGGCGGAGTATGGAGGGGCATGGGGGGCGATGCCCCGCACAAAATTGACACCTTTATTAATTTACATTTAGGAGTTTACGATTTAGATTAAAACTAATTCATTCATTGTACGCACCCTCGATTCCTAATGTGAGGGACAAAGTGAACCCCTGCCCCCCTCCCACAAATATAGAAGTCAAACTCCGCCTGCGATTAATACTTTGCATTTACTTTCTCTTGCCAGTTGCACGACAATAATTCACTGTGCGTTTGGAACTCATCTTTCTCAACCCGTTCGTCCTTTCTTTTGGTTTTGTAAACCATCACCTTCCGCAATGAAATGTTTATTCCTACCGCACACGAGACCATCACACAGCAGGGGATTTCATTGCAGAATAGTGTGGTCCGTTTTTGGGTTGTTTTTTTTTTGCCGCGCGCCTTCCAAAATCCTGATGCAGAAGATTCGTGCTGGCTGCAGCCACAAATGTTACTTGCAACTTTGATTCTTGTGTATCGATAGTTCAATTGCAGTGTGCCATTATTTTAGGGACTGTGTGCTGTCTTTCTGTGTGGTCTGGGGCTGTTTTTGTTGCTGTGTTGTCTTACCCGAGCTTGCATTTAGTGTTTAAAAAAATCGGACTTATATACTGCACTTTATTTGCATGTATTTTTATTTCGTGACATGCTTAACTTTTTCTCTACTTTGCACTGCGCTCGTTTTTTTGTTTGTTTAATATTGTTTGTTGTTGCAACTTTCCTACCCGCCCCTCCTCGACACACGTGAAGAAGAGCTTCATTGCTCTTCGGATTCCCTCCAGTGACAATACACATCCTGATGGGCGATGACGTACGCGCCCACCTGGCGTCTCCTCTCCCACCCCACCCCCCGGACGTCCTACGCGATGACGTCACCAACACCTTGCGACCCCCCCGCCCCATCCACACGGACGTCTCACAGGGTCCTCGTACGCGATGACGTCACCGCGTCGCAAAAGTTAAACCGCCGGAGTGTCCGTTTCCGACGTGATGACGTCACGCGCGTCCAACGCCCGCCCCCCCACCCACGGGGCCCGCCCTCCCGCCGCCCGACTTCCGGTCGGAGCCGGAAGTGAGCAGAGTCCGTGTTGGAAGTGGCGCGGGGGGAGCGCGGCGCGAAGGTGACGAGAGGGAGACGCGCGCCTCGGACTCCCCGCGCGCTCCCCGAGCCCCCCGCGGCCTCTCGGCCACTGCTCGTCGACTCCCCTCTTCAACGACGACTCCCTTCGCCTGCCGACCTCATCAGCCCTCATTTGCCACGGGCCCCCCACCCACACCCCCCCCCCCCAGCGCCGAGGGGGAACACGCGGTGAGTGAAGCCACCGATGGCGGTCTCAGTGTTGGGGGTGCAGCGGCGGCTTCGCGAGGCGAGCGAGGGGCGCGTGTGAGGGGGAAGCGAGAGGAGATGGGGGGGGGGGGGTGCGAGTGAGACTCAGGCGGCTTTGGGGGGGGGGGCAGTCTGGCGAGGGCCCGCGTGGCCCCGTAATGGCCGCGGGTAGTGGCGGCTAGGGGTGGTGTGTAGGGGGGGGTGCGGTGGGGGGTGGTGGTGGGGGGGGGACCCTCCCCCGCATTCCTGGCGCTGACGTGGCCGAGGGCGCGACTCCCCCCCCCCTCTCCCAGCAGCAGCAGCAGCAGCCCCCTCCTCCCTCCCCGGGCGAGTGAGAGCACCGCCCCCCCCCCCCAGTGAGGGGGGTGAGAGGAGGAGGAGGAGGTAGGTTGGGGGGTGAGCGCCCCCTCCCTCCCCCCGACTTCTCGGCATCGCCCCCCCCTCCTCCTCCGTGGGCGAGGGAGCCGACCCGACTCCTCCTCGCATATGGGGGTCGCCTCCCCCCCTACCCCCTACCACCACCACCACCACGCCACTGGGACGGCCCCTAAAGACTTGAGTAGTGTGCGAGTTGAAGCCGCGTGTGGTGTGATGCGAAGTGAGTTTGTGTGTTGAGTGGGATGAGGCCTGTGTGTGTGTGTGAGCCTGCTTGTGGTATACTTTGTGTGAGACTGAGTGAAGCATAAGTTGTTGTGAGCCACTTGTACACAAAAGATTCGCCCCGTAGCCTTTAACTCGACTGCCGGGGACGAGTGCTGTTAGCGAGCGCCTATGAAGGCCAGCACGGTCTGTGGCTCGCATCACGCCCGGCCGCCTTTGTCTCCATAGTGGCCAAGTTTAAACGCCGGGTACTCATTTGAGGCAGAGTCGACCTAGGGGAGGCCCAGGACCGGTTCAGATAATCGTCTAGACCGTGAGTGGGAATCGAACTCGGATTGCGCCACGGTAACCCCACTCACCCACTCACCATGAAGATCTTTTACTACCTCACATAGAGAGGGGCCTTGCCGATACACATCTTTGTCGGCTTTCGTGGCCAATATTATTCTGGCGAGGCTGGTTGTAATTGGAGGCGAAACGTTGTACTCGAATTGTAAATGTTCTTTGGTTTACTCTCCAACACACCGGTGTGCTGAACTGACGAATTGGCGTGTTTTTGTTTACGTGACTAAATTGGCTGTGTCGGTCGGTGGCGCGTTTAACGACAGACACATTTTTATTTACGCGATCTAATCCCCACAAAAACCCATCTACTATGGAAATATATTGCAGTTTACCAACGTTGGCTCAAGTAGTCCTGGCCCTGGTGATGAGACGTTGAATGTCAAGCCCATCCAGAATCTGTACTCACCGATTCCGTTGGGGGGAAATCAAACCGACGAAGAGAAAAAAAGTTTTTTTTCAACGGTTTTATTAACAACTTTTGTTTAATTCACCCTCGAGAAGTACTTCAATGATGCGGTGCCTGCTCGCACATCAAACGCTTACTTGCAATAATTGATTTATTTTATAATGAATCTTCTACTCGTTGACACGGAGCAGGCGCGCCTGAGACACGCGGCTCCTGCTTCTTGTGCGAGGCGATTCCACATTTGAGGGACCGCGGCGTTTTTGACCTGCACAAAACTATATAATTAATATAAGGCGTCCATACTAAAATTGCAATTGCTTGAAAGGAGCCAATTGATGAATTGATGCCGATTTTGATACAGGCATGCATTGTCACCGGATCGGAGTACGTGTGCAAAATTTTTAATTGATTGGACAACAGGAAGTAGACTAAATTTTGATTACAAGATTTGACCACGACAGACAGGAGTCAAGTTAAATAAAACCGTTGAAAATAACTCCTAAAAGGTTGTGTGGCCAATGGGATGTGTCAAAAAATGTTTTTATGTAGAGGGACGGATATGGGAATAAATCGTGATGAAGTTAATTAATCGTGTTACTTATTAGCCAACATGCACCATCAATCAATTCATTCGCCTCTCAACTCACAACCTACCCACGCTGCCCATGTGCCCATCATTCTATCGCTACTTAACATGGTTACTGTTCTGTGAACTTCACTCATTGATTCCTCACACTCACCGACTCACACTCTCACCCATTCAGCCACTCACATCCCCACTCAAACGCCACACTGCAGGTCACAACACTTTTCGTTCTTCCCTCACACTTCTTCACGTTGGAATTCCCTCAATGTGTTTTATTTGACCAAACTCTTAGAATAATTTTGCTCGATTCTGGAAACGTGGTAACTTACCTATTGCAAGTTAGGTAGTGATGTTGGTTGCTTTCCACTTGATATTTTTGACCTTTGGGCCTGTGCTCAGCAACTTTCTAAAAAGAAAGCATGCCACAGACCTGGAATCAATTCTAATTGTGCACTATACAGTAAATTAACTTGATTGCTTTTTGAAGAATTATTTGTGGTTATGCTGTGTTTATACTGTGTCAATGCTGTTTCCAAAATGTCTGCAGTCCTCCAGTTGGTGGTGGAAGGTGTGCAAGATGATCTGCAACAGGAGGTGATGAGATTCTGGGACACCGCAAGATACTGGAGCATCACAGGACACACCTGTACATTACAGCAGGTGTCGGGGTGTTGTGGAAGTTGCTCCTGTGTGGGATTGAAATGGCTGAGGAGCCCGAATTGTGCTATCTGCGAGCGCTAGCCAGCGAGCTGAACCTGCAACGCAAGAACGGCACGCACTGCGATTGCCATGTCGTTGTTCAAGGCAGTACCTTCAAGGTGAGTCGTTGCTTGCCACACTCACGACACCGCGCTCGCCAAACTCACCTTGTTGATGCACTTTTCTCAACAGTACAATACAGGAATCTCCCACTTATACGTAAGGGAAGCGTTCATGGGATACGCTACTTGACTCGAAATTACTTAAAGCGATTTCTAATACGCTATATATATTATGTAAAATCTGGGGTTGCGTTCCGAGCTGGCGTATCTGGAGAGAGAAAAAAATGCGTGACTACATTTCATGAAGTATACAAAAAAATAGTAATAAGTTAATAACATACATTTTAACTAATAATAAATATGCGTAATTTGATCAAACCTACCAGAGATGGTTGAAGAGCTACGCCGATTTTGATCTTCAATCCAGACACTTAAAAGTCGTGACACGCTTTCTAGAATTCCACAACTGCTATATGAGTTAGTTTAGTGGCAGTTAAAGGTGCCACATTTTGAGCACATTCTAGACTTTTTCCTGTATTAGCTCCCAATAATTCTCACCGAGGTCGTGGGTAGCCCTAGTATTCTGGCAATATCGACTGCCCTTTTCACCTGCTCCAAAATGCTTTAAAACTTCTAATTTAACCTCTCAATTAATACTTCTGCTTCTTCTTTGGCTGCTTCTCCTTTGCCTTTTTTTGCCAGTGGCACGATCACCATTGACTGCGCATTTTGGAAACCATCTTACTCAACCCTTTGTACTTTTTTTTTTAAACCTAACGCGATATTTCTACCTAAACCTCGTGCTATATTTCTACCTAACGTACGCATCGACCACGCAAAATGGCAGGCTGGGAAACGGAGGCAGAGCACGTGGCGGAGGGAAATTAGTCAGTCCACACGACGCGCGCGTGCGGTTACACCGCAAGAGAGTCCGTGTTTACCATGTGCGCTGCTAAAGTAAAAAAAATTGTGCAAATATTTTTGTTGCACACATTTGTTTTAAACAAAGCATATGCGAAACATTAAACTTATAAGGACATGTGTTCCCTGATTGATCAGCAATGTATATGCAAAACAACACATACTGCGGCTACTTATAGCGGGGGATGCCTGTACTTGATTGGGGTTGCAAAAACCTGGTCACATTCAACTATAAAAACTCAGTCAATGATTTTATTACACAGGTCCACCAATACCACAGTTCCTCAATGATAATTATGCAAGGCTGGCTATTCCACAGTTCCTCCCATCGCATTTAACAATGAAATTCTTATCCATAGTAACACCATTCATCTAATTGGCACAACAATCTTTTCTCACCTGTCAATTCATTACAATTACTAATCTCTCTAAGGACACGTCAAAGCTTGGTTTTCCATTCTTTGCCAAAGTCACCTGTAATTCCAACAATTATCACTGTTGCCTTACAAAGCACAAATTTGTCCAAAGCTGGAATCCTGTTGTCATATCTGGGATGGAGCACCCAGTTTCTACTTCCCTGCATGTGGCCTCCACAGTGGCGAGGTGTTAACTACCTTGCCTGGTATACAGGAGATCGTGGGTTCGATCCCGACACCTGTATATTTGGAGTGCGTGTGTTCTCCCCGTGGTCGCGTGGATCTTTTTCGGGGTCCTCTGGTTTTTTCCTTCAAATTTAGAAACATGTTTTTCGGGTAATTTGGCTGCTATAAATTTCCACGTGATAAGCCACTTCGTTGAGCTTTCATTTGTGGCGGTCGCTTCTGAAAAAAGAGCTATATAGCTTAGTGGGCCTTGCGTGGTAAAATGCAGAATAGTTAAAATAATTTAATGTTAAGCAGTCGGATCGATTGATGACTCACTGATCCACTCCAGTCACTGGTGTCCCTTGCTCACCCGCCGTTATTTGCTTCCTTTTGACTCTTTTATCGCTACTGCAATGATTGCTGTTCCCGTGAACGCTTATTTGTCCATTCCTCCACCCATGTTGAGGACTCTTGTCTAACACACTGACCGCTTAATCTCGTCCAAGAATGATACAGAGGTAACTCAACATCACAGAATTACACTCCATGGACCCCTACCCATCTCCCTCTAAACCCAGCAACCCTGCGAGCACTGTTTGTTGCTGTTAGGCTTGAAGTAAAGCAAAATAAAACAAACATATCCCAGATGACATCTCTCTCTGTCCCGGTTTGACAGGCCCACCGCAACGTGCTGTTTGCGGCGAGTCCGCACGTCCGTGCGCTCCTGCGGGGCCAGGCAGAGCGCCCTGGCCAGGTCGTGGTCATCCACCTGGACATCGTGACGGCTGCTGGGTTCGCTGCCATCCTTGACTACATGTACTCGGGGCGTGTCATACTCTCCTCGCGCAACATGATCGAGGTGATGTCGGCCGCCAGCTACCTGCAGATGACCGAGCTAGTGCGCCTGTGCGACCACTACATCCGCACCTCCTTCAAGGTACGCGCGCACCGGTATACACAGACGCGTAGGTACACAGGTACGCAAGCATGCGCGTGCATTTTCATGCACGGGTATGCACATGCGTATGTAGTCGTGAGCGTACTCAATTATACCCACACACAAATAGTCATTCACGCATACACTGGTATACCACGCTCCACCGTATAGCCTCCACCACACCAGCCAACCTCTTCTCGAGCTAGAGTTTAACCCCCTCTATCCTGCAAAAGAGAAACTCGTTTGGCATGCAGTTGCTGGGCATGCGAGCGACATGACCCAGCCAACGCAACCTTGCCCACTGGAGGAGCTCACTGATGGGAATGTATCCAGATCTTTTAAGGATTTGTGAGCTGCTCACACAATCCAGACTGGTTAAACTCAGGATGGATCATAGGCCATCCAGCCTGAAAGTTTCAAACTGGTGCAGATGATCCATTAGAGTGTCCACGTTTTCAAAAGCAAAGAGAAGGCATAAGGGCATGACTATTGCCAAGAAGACCCAGTGTTTCGTGTAGGGCGATAGACCAGGTAGCCTCCACGCAGCGATATGCAGACAATGCCGCTTGGCTGATTCAGAGTGAGATCTCTGCTGCCAAACCGGAGTTTGTCATGAGCACACTACCCAGGTACATAAACCTCTCTACTCTTTCAACAACTGCCCCATCACTCATGGGGAGTTGAGGGGTGGAGTATTGGAGGATCCAAAATACCCAGGCAGGTGCTTAGTTTTGGTGGGGCTGATGGTAAAGCTCCACCTCTTAGTAGTACACTCCAGGTGCAGCAGCAGAACCTCCTTCTCTTAGTGAGCAGCAACCACCAGATCATCAGAGTACATGTATGTATGTTGAACTTCTTTCACACCGTACGTAGCCAACCGTGCTAATCGGAGGTGTGAGGTAAGGACAACAAACTAAATAGAAGAAGCAGTTAATAACATGGTTGAACCAGTAGGGAGCTCAACAACAACAACCGCCATTCGCCACTAAGTGGCGGTGACATCACCACGACGCTTGTGCCAGGCCATGTGGACCTTGAGGCCATACACACACGTACACACACAGCTAGCTTGCAGTTCACCAACATTGTGTCGATAAACCTGACTGCTGATGAGACGTTGAATATGAAAACTCATGTAAATACTCATCCAGAGTTTGCAAGTGTTTAATCGAATGCTGCTGAATAATGGGAAGCAGGCATGTGTCTGCGTATTAATGTTTGACTACTCTTATTCAAATTGTACTAATGCTTATTCATGTTTTACTTATCACCCAAAATCCACCACCACCCAACATACTAATCACCCAACATCTACCACCATCAAGACATAAGCCTCATCGCTCCCAGCACGCACGCACTGTCCATCTGGCAGTCTCTTTACCATTACAACTCCATATTTTTCTATCACTCTACGACTGTACCATGGCTACTTTACGTGAGAACTGTGCTGGTTGATTCAGCCACCAATGTTGAGGAATCTGTTTATCTGACTGACTGTTTTGTCTCATCCATGTTGTTTTTAACCACCAAAGAGCAGAACTAACCCAGTCGCACACTCGCCCACTCGCCCACCCACATGCAGCTACCCACTCACTCACCCCAATGTATTTTGTCTCATTGTTTTCTGCCGCTCTTTATTGTTTTCGTCTCAGGACGGCAGTGTGCCGACGGAGCAGTCCCTTGGACTGTCGGTCGTTGCCCCGGTGTTGCCAAATGCCGAGCTGCCCGAGGGGGTCAGTGCCGATGGCGGGGCTGGCGCCGAGGGCGACGCTGAAGCCGTGGGGCCCGAGCCGGTGCCCGTCCCGCCCGTGCGCAAGGGCAGGGGGCGACCACGCAAGTCACGGCACAGCGTGCGAGTCACCAAGCATACGCCCGCCCACTCCTCCGACAACGACGAGAGCGAGCACGGTACAGGGGGAACCTGGGGGAGGGAGGGAGGAGACGGCATGGGCATCGCCAAACATGCCCGCCCACTCCTCTGACGAAGATGTGCTCAATCCACGCGCTCCCTCTCTGTTTATTCTCGTCCCGCTTCACTGAAAAAAGTTCCCTCCACATTAAGCAGTCGCCTTCGCTCACTAGTTTCCGCTCCTCACTCAAAACTCACTTATTTTCCTGAGCTCACCCAACGACCCCTTAATCTACTGTTCCTTCATATTCTTATTATCTCATTATATGGCTATCACTCATTCCCCATTCATTGAATCCATTTATCATGTATTGTCATCAATTTACGCATCACAGATTCGCCCATTGCTACCCCATTTTATTGACCTTTTCTCCACCATTACGTTCACACATTGTACCATTCTGACTTCTCTGTAAAGTGCCGCCGTGGTTAAGGCACTCTATTAATTACGTCAAGATATGATGATGAGAGCGAGGAGAGGGAGGGCGTGACTAGACGACTCAGCCTGTGAGTTCGTGGATTGCTCCGGTGCCATCACATTTCACTTGTCTTGATGGCCACTCAGCCAGGTGACCATGTGGCTCTGTTGCTTATTTCCACTCCACGGTTGCCCCTGTGGAACTGTCTGTTTCCCCATCCACTTTTGTGGAAGGTGAGCAAATCAGCAATTTTGCACTGTGGTCCACAGTATGGGTTTAGTTGGGTCGCCAATGAGGTCTCTGTTGGTCACTTGTGCGTCTCTCCATTCTGTTTGCCATCAGTGTGAAGGTTGTTGGCTATGCCCGGCATCTTGAGTAGCTAACCTGAAAGTGTTGTGGGATATCAAGCGAGTATGGCGGGGACGGGGGTTGACTTGGCCCTTTCATGATTTGCGTCCTTGCTGCTGCTGCTTGGTGAATGTGGGGTGGTGTAGTGCCCGTCAGCACTGGGAGCTGCGATTTTGGCGCAGATTTCAGTGCTCCGGCGACGGTATGCATTCCATGTTCAGTTTCACGTCCAAGATTTTGTACGTGCACTGCAACTCCATGTTACCACCATAATATTCAGCTGCGGAGTATACGAGGGAGAGCGTCGCCACCGTCTGTAGGACTCTGGAGGGGTTCTTCCTCAGCATGCACCACTGCACTTGTGGATGATGCTCGTGCCACGGCGGCGAGATGGTAACTACCTCGCCTGATATGCAGGAGGTCGTGGGTTCAATCCCAACCCTGACGCCTGTACATTTGGAGTTTGCATGTTCTCCCCGTGGTCGTGTGGATTTTTCCCCGATTTTTTCCCCTCCACGTTTAGAATCAAAATGCATTTATCGTATTTGGCTGTTGGTAGCCATTTCCACGTGATTAGTCACTTGGTTGTTCTATCATCTGTGACCAGTCGCTTTTGAAAAAGAGCTGCATAGCTCAGTAGGCTTTACCTGGTAAAATAAAGAATAGTTTTAGTTTAATATGCCACTCTCCAACCTGGTGGATGTAGTCAGCGGGAATTAAAGGCTGCGTGTGGGCTTAAGTGAGCGCTCATCAGTGAATGGACACGTGTCCAAGGAGAGGTGATTGCACTAGTATGTAAACAGACTGACATTATGGCAAGCAATGTCAAAAATAAAGAAAACGCATTCTGTGAGAGACAAAAACAGATTGTTGTGAAACGCCAAAATGATGAAGTTATCAGATTGATTGCCATCAACTGCGGAATGTAGTTTTGAGTTAATAATCAAGTGTTTTGGGTTAGATCGCATACATGTAAATGTGTCTATAATGTGTCATAAAGCCACCTCCACCCTGCACACAGCCAATGAACAAAACGTGTCAATTAGTTACAACTTCAGCACACCGCCAGTGTGTTGGAGAGCAAACCCACAACATTTACAATTTGATCTTGATTTGAAGCTTTCGTGACTGCAGGAATCCATACTCTTTGGTTCTTTGGGTAAAGTCACGAGTCTGTCTATCCAAGAACATCTCAAGAAGGATGAGCGCCCAGATTAACTAATACTATTTTTATTTTGTGGGTCTTTCGGTAAAGCCACATGGATAGAAAAATAATAAAATATCGGGTGTGGCTTTGGCTACACAATCCCCTTTGTCTTGTGTTCGGGGGATCTTTGTTTTGTGTGACCACCCGTGTATGTGTCTCCTCAGCAGTGGCATACGATCCCAACCGCGTGAAGATGGAACCTCAGGATAGGGACGGGCTGCTGGACAGCGAACAGGACAGGATCATCGACGCATCTGGCAACACGATCGATTTCTACCCTGGTAAGGAGCGAGGGCATGATGTCATATCAAATGATTAAGGATAATCTTATGCAGTGGATCATTGATTATCTGGCAGCTTCTGGGGGAAGGGGGTGCTAAATTTTCAAAACGCTGGATAATCACATCATTATTTCAAATAGATTATTTTTTGCACATTCTTGCATAACATTGTGTTTATATGTTGTGTATATGTTGTTTTAGTGTTTCAAATGTGTCTCCGATATGAAATTGTCATAAATAAAACATACAAAATAGGCAGAATATCCTCCTGTAAAAAGTTATTGAATTTACTCTAGTGTACTTATTACTCCAATCTCGAAGACTCAGTATGAGGTAATGTACGTACGACGCTCTTGTTTCAACAACCATGTGTTTAGCGATCGCCGGATTGATGCTAACGCCAAATATGCGTTTTTCGCCGCATCCCACCGTTTATTTTATGTTTTTATTACTGTCGTTATTAGTCGTGAAAATTGTATTTCCTTGCAGCCTTTTCGTTGTTTAAAGTTATTGTATGTAGTGTATAATGCACTGTATATAATATTTGACACTGAAATCAAGCGTAGCTACTTTTTTGTCACACACGTGGTGCCGATCGCCGGACTGGTAAAGCCTTTAAAGCGGTTTTGCTGTCAGATCGGCCCGGGACTGCCGAATCATTTTTGAAGCCGGATAATCCTACACCGGATAATTGTTGGTCAACTGTGCTTCAATATAGCCTAATTCATGAAAACGGCATCTGAAAACGCTGCAGAGTTTAAGATAGATACGCAAGCGGGAAGGCACCCAGAAGCGGGCACCGACAGTTGTCCAAGCTCTGTTAGCACTACTTTTGAGGTGTTTGGCCGACTCCCTTGAGTATTTACACATGTGGGAACAAACAGGAATTCCCAGAGGAAAACCCATGCTTGCGAGGGGAGTGACAATCGTCGAACAGAGGCAAAATCATCGCTTTATGTGCTGCCATACCTTGGCCAGCTAGGTGTAGCGACCTCAATGCTCACAGCTAGAGTTTGATGAATCTGTGTGATCCATTCACCCTAACAGAGAGGGTGTCCTTGCCTCTAAAAATCTGGTAGCTCATGGGGATTGTTTATGGAAGCCTGACTGCTGATGTCAAAACCAGTCGAGAGATATGCTTGCTTTAAACCAATTCTGTTGAATGTATGCATTCCCAGAAGGTCGTGTGGCCAATGGGATGTGTAAAATAATACATTTATCTTTTATGTGGAGAGACGGATATGGGAAGCTGTTTTGTGTTACTGTGAAGGATCGTAAAGCTGAAAACTGAGCATCTTGAAAATAAATTGCTGGCAATTGTGTACAGGTGTCTGCGACCATTGCTAGAAATGTAATGGCAAAAAATGGGGTAATCAACTTGTTGGTTGGGAATATAACATGGCAGGTGCACGGTGTCGTTGATGATTAGGCAGGCTGATGGAGGTCCTGTTGTCGACACGGGCATTAGAGTGGTCGCCACGAGTGCGGCGACCAAGGGGAAGAGAAGCCGTCAATCTTTGGGAGGTGACTCCTAACCTCCCGACCTCCGGTGCGTTTCCGCTTTAGGGGCTGAGTTTGGTAGTCCCGTTGGCGGCTATGACGATGGACCTTCCTCGGGCTACCACGACTCGGGGGCCGGCTACGGGGGCTGCACGCCGGGCTACGACGACGCGACACCGGGCTACGGCGACGCCGCGCAGGACTACGGCGAGGAAGCCGCCCCGGACTACGACGACCCCACGGTGGACTACGACGGCTCGGCGCCGGACTACGACGACGGAGCGGCACCCCCGGACTACGACGACGGAGCCCCCCCGCTCCACGGCTACGGCGACGTGGACGGCATGGACGTCTCGGGCATGGCGGTGCCGCTCGACGGAGGAGTCGGAGACGAGGAGGAGGAGGACGGGGGAGAGGACGGTGAGGAGGGAGACGGCGCCGGGGCCCACGCCGGACACGCCGGTGGCAGCCCCGGCTGCTTCACCTACACCATCCTGACGGAGAACCTAACCGCCGCCGGAGAGGGGGGCGGCACCGGCAGGATGTTCGGTACGGGGTGGGGGTAGGGCTGCCGGCACAGCCATAGTCTCGCCAGACAATATGTGGGTCAGATTTTTGCTTTTGTTTTGGCCGGCAACAAAGCAGCATTGTCAAAGTGGTACCAGGTTTCTTGGATTGAGCCATAGCTATGACTAGAACTTAGGAAAATAGGTGATGGGAGGGAAGTCTAAATGCCCAAAATGCCAAGTGACTGGCAACAAACAGCACTTTCTAAGATGTAAGAGGTGAGGATGCCATTGCAGCTTGACACAGAGACGGTTTGGAGGGGATTTGAAATGCTCTCCTCTCCGTCCCCGGCAGGCAAGCGGCGGCTGCTGCAATGCAACTACTGCAACTTCGCCGCAATGCGCAAGTACAAGCTCGTGCGGCACATCCGCACGCACACCGGCGAGCGTCCCTTCGGCTGCGACGCTTGCGGCAAGCGCTTCATCCGCAGGGAGCATCTCCAGCGGCACACGCAGGTACACGCAAGGCGCGGGCTCACGCACACACGCACGCATAGGTGCACGCACGCGCGCACAGATACGCTTACACATACGCATATGCAGGTACACGCAGGTACACGCACGCACACCGGCGAGCGGCCCTTCGGTTGCGAGGCTTGCGGGAAACGGTTCATCCGCAGAGAGCACCTGCAGCGGCATACGCAGGTACACGCAGTGCACGGGCACACACACGCACACGCACACACGCGCGCTCACAGGTACATTACACACAAGCATGCTGGTATACGCAGGCACATGCAAGCACGGGTGCACGTGCAGGTACATAAGCACGTGGGCATGGGTACACACACAGACAAGTATGCACGATCATTCACACGCACACAGGTACACACGTGCAAGCAGGCACACACCTGCGAGGTCATTTACACATGCAGGTTCACACGCACACTCGCAGGCATGCATGATCATTCATGTGCACACAGGTGCATGGAAGGGTTCACGTCCAGGTACAAGATTATTCTAGTTTATTTCGCAATCAGTTTTTTTTTACGTAGTGTTGTGCTTCACTGTACTCACCATTGAGGTGTGTTCACACTGTCCAAAACACAAGCTACAGTAAAACCTTGGATTGCGAGTAACTTGGTCTGCGAGTGTTTTGCAAGATGAGCAAAAATTTAAAGTAAATATTAATTTGATAAACGAGCGAGGTCTTGCAATACGAGTAGTACGTGTATAAGCTTTGTCTGCCGAGCGTCATGTGATCACAACTGATATACGACGAGTGCTTTGATATACGAGTGCTTTGGATTACAAACACGTTTCCGGAACGAATTATTGTATATAGAGATGGCTACACGTGGAGCTAGCGAGAGAGACGGGGCTACATGGAGCTAGAGAGAGAGATGGGGCTACATGGAGCTAGCGAGAGAGACGGGGCTACATGGAGCTAGAGAGAGAGATGGGGCTACATGGAGCTAGAGAGAGAGACGGGGCTACATGGAGCTAGAGAGAGACGGGGCTACATGGAGCTAGAGAGAGAGACGGGGCTACGTGGAGCTAGAGAGAGAGACGGGGCTACATGGAGCTAGAGAGAGAGACGGGGCTACATGGAGCTAGAGAGAGAGACGGGGCTACATGGAGCTAGAGAGAGACGGGGCTACATGAGACGGGGCTACATGGAGCTAGAGAGAGAGACGGGCTACATGGAGCTAGAGAGAGAGACGGGCTACATGGAGCTAGAGAGAGAGACGGGCTACATGGAGCTAGAGAGAGAGACGGGCTACATGGAGCTAGAGAGAGAGACGGGGCTACGTGGAGCTAGAGAGAGAGACGGGCTACAGTGGAGCTAGAGAGAGACGGGCTACATGGAGCTAGAGAGAGAGACGGGCTACATGGAGCTAGAGAGAGAGACGGGCTACATGGAGCTAGAGAGAGAGACGGGCTACATGGAGCTAGAGAGAGAGACGGGCTACATGGAGCTAGAGAGAGAGACGGGCTACATGGAGCTAGAGAGAGAGACGGGGCTACATGGAGCTAGAGAGAGAGACGGGCTACATGGAGCTAGAGAGAGAGACGGGCTACATGGAGCTAGAGAGAGAGACGGGCTACATGGAGCTAGAGAGAGAGACGGGCTACATGGAGCTAGAGAGAGAGACGGGGCTACATGGAGCTAGAGAGAGACGGGGCTACATGGAGCTAGAGAGAGAGACGGGCTACATGGAGCTAGAGAGAGAGACGGGCTACATGGAGCTAGAGAGAGAGACGGGCTACATGGAGCTAGAGAGAGAGACGGGCTACATGGAGCTAGAGAGAGAGACGGGGCTACATGGAGCTAGAGAGAGAGACGGGGCTACATGGAGCTAGAGAGAGAGACGGGGCTACATGGAGCTAGAGAGAGAGACGGGGCTACGTGGAGCTAGAGAGAGAGACGGGGCTACATGGAGCTAGAGAGAGACGGGGCTACATGGAGCTAGAGAGAGAGACGGGGCTACATGGAGCTAGAGAGAGAGACGGGGCTACATGGAGCTAGAGAGAGAGACGGGGCTACATGGAGCTAGAGAGAGAGACGGGGCTACATGGAGCTAGAGAGAGAGACGGGGCTACATGGAGCTAGAGAGAGAGACGGGCTACATGGAGCTAGAGAGAGACGGGGCTACATGGAGCTAGAGAGAGAGACGGGGCTACATGGAGCTAGAGAGAGAGACGGGCTACATGGAGCTAAGAGAGAGACGGGCTACATGGAGCTAGAGAGAGAGACGGGCTACATGGAGCTAGAGAGAGAGACGGGCTACATGGAGCTAGAGAGAGAGACGGGGCTACATGGAGCTAGAGAGAGAGACGGGCTACATGGAGCTAGAGAGAGAGACGGGCTACATGGAGCTAGAGACGGGCTACATGGAGCTAGAGAGAGAGACGGGCTACATGGAGCTAGAGAGAGAGACGGGCTACATGGAGCTAGAGAGAGACAGGGCTACATGGAGCTAGAGAGAGAGACGGGCTACATGGAGCTAGAGAGAGAGAGGGGCTACATGGAGCTAGAGAGAGAGACGGGCTACATGGAGCTAGAGAGAGACGGGCTACATGGAGCTAGAGAGAGAGACGGGCTACATGGAGCTAGAGAGAGAGACGGGGCACATGGAGCTAGAGAGAGAGACGGGCTACATGGAGCTAGAGAGAGACGGGGCTACATGGAGCTAGAGAGAGAGACGGGGCTACATGGAGCTAGAGAGAGAGACGGGCTACATGGAGCTAGAGAGAGAGACGGGCTACATGGAGCTAGAGAGAGAGACGGGCTACATGGAGCTAGAGAGAGAGACGGGCTACATGGAGCTAGAGAGAGACGGGGCTACATGGAGCTAGAGAGAGAGACGGGCTACATGGAGCTAGAGAGAGAGACGGGCTACATGGAGCTAGAGAGAGAGACGGGGCTACATGGAGCTAGAGAGAGAGACGGGGCTACATGGAGCTAGAGAGAGAGACGGGCTACATGGAGCTAGAGAGAGACGGGGCTACATGGAGCTAGAGAGAGAGACGGGCTACATGGAGCTAGAGAGAGAGACGGGCTACATGGAGCTAGAGAGAGAGACGGGCTACATGGAGCTAGAGAGAGACGGGGCTACATGGAGCTAGAGAGAGAGATGGGCTACATGGAGCTAGAGAGAGAGACGGGCTACATGGAGCTAGAGAGAGAGACGGGCTACATGGAGCTAGAGAGAGAGACGGGGCTACATGGAGCTAGAGAGAGAGACGGGGCTACATGGAGCTAGAGAGAGACGGGGCTACATGGAGCTAGAGAGAGAGACGGGCTACATGGAGCTAGAGAGAGAGACGGGCTACATGGAGCTAGAGAGAGAGACGGGCTACATGGAGCTAGAGAGAGAGACGGGCTACATGGAGCTAGAGAGAGACGGGGCTACAGTGGAGCTAGAGAGAGAGACTGGGCTACATGGAGCTAGAGAGAGACGGGGCTACATGGAGCTAGAGAGAGACGGGGCTACATGGAGCTAGAGAGAGAGACGGGCTACATGGAGCTAGAGAGAGAGACGGGGCTACAGTGGAGCTAGAGAGAGAGACGGGCTACATGGAGCTAGAGAGAGAGACGGGCTACATGGAGCTAGAGAGAGAGACGGGGCTACATGGAGCTAGAGAGAGAGACGGGCTACATGGAGCTAGAGAGAGAGACGGGGCTACATGGAGCTAGAGAGAGAGACGGGGCTACATGGAGCTAGAGAGAGAGACGGGGCTACATGGAGCTAGAGAGAGAGACGGGCTACATGGAGCTAGAGAGAGACGGGGCTACATGGAGCTAGAGAGAGACGGGGCTACATGGAGCTAGAGAGAGAGACGGGCTACATGGAGCTAGAGAGAGAGACGGGCTACATGGAGCTAGAGAGAGACGGGCTACATGGAGCTAGAGAGAGAGACGGGGCTACATGGAGCTAGAGAGAGAGACGGGGCTACATGGAGCTAGAGAGAGAGACGGGCTACATGGAGCTAGAGAGAGAGACGGGCTACATGGAGCTAGAGAGAGACGGGGCTACATGGAGCTAGAGAGAGAGACGGGGCTACATGGAGCTAGAGAGAGAGACGGGGCTACATGGAGCTAGAGAGAGACGGGGCTACATGGAGCTAGAGAGAGAGACGGGCTACATGGAGCTAGAGAGAGAGACGGGCTACATGGAGCTAGAGAGAGAGACGGGCTACATGGAGCTAGAGAGAGAGACGGGGCTACATGGAGCTAGAGAGAGAGACGGGCTACATGGAGCTAGAGAGAGAGACGGGCTACATGGAGCTAGAGAGAGAGACGGGGCTACATGGAGCTAGAGAGAGACGGGGCTACATGGAGCTAGAGAGAGAGACGGGCTACATGGAGCTAGAGAGAGAGACGGGGCTACATGGAGCTAGAGAGAGACGGGGCTACATGGAGCTAGAGAGAGAGACGGGGCTACATGGAGCTAGAGAGAGAGACGGGCTACATGGAGCTAGAGAGAGAGACGGGGCTACATGGAGCTAGAGAGAGAGACGGGCTACATGGAGCTAGAGAGAGAGACGGGGCTACATGGAGCTAGAGAGAGAGACGGGCTACATGGAGCTAGAGAGAGAGACCGGGCTACATGGAGCTAGAGAGAGAGACGGGCTACATGGAGCTAGAGAGAGAGACGGGGCTACATGGAGCTAGAGAGAGAGACGGGGCTACATGGAGCTAGAGAGAGACGGGGCTACATGGAGCTAGAGAGAGAGACGGGGCTACATGGAGCTAGAGAGAGAGACGGGCTACATGGAGCTAGAGAGAGAGATGGGGCTACATGGAGCTAGAGAGAGAGACGGGGCTACGTGGAGCTAGAGAGAGACAGGGCTACATGGAGCTACAGAGAGAGACGGGCTACATGGAGCTAGAGAGAGAGACGGGCTACATGGAGCTAGAGAGAGAGACGGGCTACATGGAGCTAGAGAGAGACGGGCTACATGGAGCTAGAGAGAGAGACGGGCTACATGGAGCTAGAGAGAGAGACGGGCTACATGGAGCTAGAGAGAGAGACGGGCTACATGGAGCTAGAGAGAGAGCGGGCTACATGGAGCTAGAGAGAGACGGGCTACATGGAGCTAGAGAGAGAGACGGGGCTACATGGAGCTAGAGAGAGAGACGGGCTACATGGAGCTAGAGAGAGAGACGGGCTACATGGAGCTAGAGAGAGAGACGGGCTACATGGAGCTAGAGAGAGAGACGGGCTACATGGAGCTAGAGAGAGAGACGGGCTACATGGAGCTAGAGAGAGAGATGGGCTACATGGAGCTAGAGAGAGAGACGGGCTACATGGAGCTAGAGAGAGAGACGGGCTACATGGAGCTAGAGAGAGACGGGGCTACATGGAGCTAGAGAGAGAGATGGGGCTACATGGAGCTAGAGAGAGACGGGGCTACATGGAGCTAGAGAGAGAGACGGGCTACATGGAGCTAGAGAGAGAGACGGGCTACATGGAGCTAGAGAGAGAGACGGGGTACATGGAGCTAGAGAGAGACGGGGCTACGTGGAGCTAGAGAGAGAGACGGGGCTACATGGAGCTAGAGAGAGAGACGGGGCTACATGGAGCTAGAGAGAGACGGGGCTACATGGAGCTAGAGAGAGAGACGGGCTACATGGAGCTAGAGAGAGACGGGGCTACGTGGAGCTAGAGAGAGAGACGGGGCTACATGGAGCTAGAGAGAGAGACGGGCTACATGGAGCTAGAGAGAGAGACGGGCTACATGGAGCTAGAGAGAGAGACGGGGCTACGTGGAGCTAGAGAGAGACGGGGCTACATGGAGCTAGAGAGAGACGGGGCTACATGGAGCTAGAGAGAGAGACGGGCTACATGGAGCTAGAGAGAGAGACGGGCTACATGGAGCTAGAGAGAGAGACGGGGCTACGTGGAGCTAGAGAGAGAGACGGGGCTACGTGGAGCTAGAGAGAGAGACGGGCTACATGGAGCTAGAGAGAGACGGGCTACATGGAGCTAGAGAGAGAGACGGGGCTACGTGGAGCTAGAGAGAGAGACGGGATACATGGAGCTAGAGAGAGAGACGGGGCTACATGGAGCTAGAGAGAGAGACGGGCTACATGGAGCTAGAGAGAGAGACGGGATACATGGAGCTAGAGAGAGACGGGCTACATGGAGCTAGAGAGAGAGACGGGCTACATGGAGCTAGAGAGAGAGACGGGGCTACATGGAGCTAGAGAGAGAGACGGGCTACATGGAGCTAGAGAGAGAGACGGAGCTAAATGGAGCTAGAGAGAGAGACGGGGCTACATGGAGCTAGAGAGAGAGACGGGCTACATGGAGCTAGAGAGAGAGACGGGGCTACATGGAGCTAGAGAGAGAGACGGGGTACATGGAGCTAGAGAGAGACAGGCTACATGGAGCTAGAGAGAGAGACGGGCTACATGGAGCTAGAGAGAGAGACGGGGCTACATGGAGCTAGAGAGAGAGACGGAGCTAAATGGAGCTAGAGAGAGAGACGGGGCTACATGGAGCTAGAGAGAGAGACGGGCTACATGGAGCTAGAGAGAGAGACGGGGCTACATGGAGCTAGAGAGAGAGACGGAGCTAAATGGAGCTAGAGAGAGAGACGGGGCTACATGGAGCTAGAGAGAGAGACGGGCTACATGGAGCTAGAGAGAGAGACGGGGCTACGTGGAGCTAGAGAGAGAGACGGGCTACATGGAGCTAGTGAGAGAGACGGGCTACATGGAGCTAGAGAGAGAGACGGGCTACATGGAGCTAGAGAGAGAGACGGGCTACATGGAGCTAGAGAGAGAGACGGGGCTACGTGGAGCTAGAGAGAGAGACGGGCTACGTGGAGCTAGAGAGAGACGGGCTACATGGAGCTAGAGAGAGAGACGGGGCTACGTGGAGCTAGAGAGAGAGACGGGCTACGTGGAGCTAGAGAGAGACGGGGCTACATGGAGCTAGAGAGAGAGACGGGCTACATGGAGCTAGAGAGAGACGGGGCTACATGGAGCTAGAGAGAGAGACGGGGCTACATGGAGCTAGAGAGAGAGACGGGCTACATGGAGCTAGAGAGAGAGATGGGCTACATGGAGCTAGAGAGAGAGACGGGCTACATGGAGCTAGAGAGAGAGACGGGGCTACATGGAGCTAGAGAGAGACGGGCTACATGGAGCTAGAGAGAGACGGGGCTACATGGAGCTAGAGAGAGAGACGGGGCTACATGGAGCTAGAGAGAGAGACGGGCTACATGGAGCTAGAGAGAGACGGGGCTACATGGAGCTAGAGAGAGAGACGGGGCTACATGGAGCTAGAGAGAGAGACGGGCTACATGGAGCTAGAGAGAGAGACGGGCTACATGGAGCTAGAGAGAGAGACGGGGCTACATGGAGCTAGAGAGAGACGGGGCTACATGGAGCTAGAGAGAGAGACGGGGCTACGTGGAGCCAGATGGAGCTACAGAACACACTCCCACCTCTTGTGCTGTAGGTGGCGCTGGAGGATGCACATTTCTTCGGCTACGTTTTAAGCGGCAAAATCTAAATAAATTTCGTCACATTTAAACTTTCGCACTGATTAAATAACGCCGTAAGTTATTTTCTCAAAAAATCCCTCAAATTGTGAAGAAAAAATTACATTTTCTAAAATGTCAAAGCCAGAACGTGTCGGCACTGAGATACACGGATAACAACATCACGAGTAATGATACATAACAATTGTCAAATAAATAAGTAGACAATATATAGAAACATATAATTACTTATTTTGTCCACATACCATAAGTGTAAGATTTCCAAAGCATTGGTTTAACACAAGTAAACTGATAAATATTGGTCCTAGTTTAATACAAAGCTTTCAATTCAAATGATTGACACTATTTTTGAATTGATAAGCACAATGCCACGTGCAACGCTGTGTATTTGACGTGAACACATTGCATGCAGTTGACTTAACTACGAAAGTCATTTATTCAAACTCAATTAATTCAAAACTTAAATAAAAAACCCCACCATGATGGTCTCATTTGCAACAGCGAGCCGAGTCGCCAAAAGTAACAAAAGGCACAACATGAATACACAAAGTACAGCAAGGAAGCAACACAACGGAATTGAGTAAAGCAATGAAAGTCGGCTCAGACCAATTACGTCTAAATGACATTTATAAACCAGTGATAGTCAAATGCAGTTCTAGGAAGATCAGCATGGGTTTAGGGTGATTATTGCTCAGGTATTGGTGCTGCTATTTAACGAGCTTTGTGCTATTTCATTATTTCTCGTGTGTGTTCGAGAGCGAGATTCGTGGAGTTGGATTTTGCGGAATTTGATCGCCGCCGGCTGGATTATTAGCTTCCCCAGGGGGGCGCGATGTGAACGATGAATCCATTGCCTACCTCAGCGTTGTCTAGTATTGCTCTGCTATTGCTCTAGATTTGCACTAGTATTGCACTGGTATTGCTCTAGTTTTGCACTGGGATTCCTCTAGTATTGAACTGGTATTGAACTGGTGTTGCACTGGAATAGGACCGCTATGTAAAGAAACAAGGATTTACGTCAAATACAATTGGCAGTAAAGTTACCACACAGAAAACACAAACAACTGACAATTCAACCTCGCACACGCGAACACACGTCACACACGTCACACACAGACGTCACGCACACACAACGTCGCACGCACGCAAACGAACAGGGAGAGCATTGTGGCCGTGTGACCATGTGACCATGTGACCCTCGTTGCCGGCGGGGGCGGCAGGTTCACCAGAAGGAGCGCCGGTTCGTGTGCCGCCGCTGCCGCCGCCTCTTCGTCTTCGCCAACTCGGTGGGCATCGAGTTTGGCACGCGGCGGTACGGCGTGTGCGAGGAGTGCTCCGTGCTCGGCCTGCGCGACCCCCCCCTGAAGAAGGAGGGGGGCGGGCGGGGGGGCGGCCGTGGCAGGGGGGGAGGGCGTGGAAGCAGGGGGGGCAGCCGCCTCGGCGCGGGGGGCAGCTCTGCGGCGGAGAAGCGGGCGGCGATGGCGGCGGCGGTGGAGGCGGTGGTTTCGGGGAGAGGAGGAGGAGGAAGAGGGGGGGGAGCCGGAGAAGAAGGGGAAGGAGATGGAGACGGAGACATGGCGGCTGTGCCGGACGGAGGAGCCAGCCTGGAACGCGTTGTTTTCAAAATGGAACCAGATGCAGGTTCGGAGGAGGACTGGAGCCAGAGGGGGGGGGGCGACCCCCCGCTCAGCTGCGACAAACCGGCAGGGGCCTTCTGATAGCAGCCTCTTCCCCCCCCCTCCCTCATTCCCACCCCCTGCCACCTCCCCGAATGTGCCCCCCCCCACCCCACCTCTTCATTCCTTTCTCAATTATTTTGAATTATTCTCCTTTCTTTTTCGGAGCCGTGTGGGAGGACACGTGGATTTGAGAGAGCTGGTCACACCCAGAGTCGCACGGATTTGGTGACACCAGCATAATCGGCCGGATCCTGCTGCCTCACTGCAGCGTCAACGGAAAACCCGTCGGCTCGTGTGGTCAACCCTGACACATTCCAGGAGCACACGATGAGAAGCCACCTTTGCCTCCTCCCACTCAACCCTCTAGACACCGCCGCCACCTCCCGCAATTAGGCGCCGATTGTGCGTGGCGACGCAACGTGCTTGTTCGCTGGGGACTCTGGCTGCCACCTGCAGGAATTGGCATCTGTGTTTAGGCAGCAGGAATTTGATTCGTTTATTGGGTATTGTGTTGAACTTTATAGCATTGTACTGCTGAGTTTTGATAGACTTCGGCTGACTGAATAGTATGCCCAGGATTTAGTCAACAGTGGAAAAGGTGGCAACCCCGGTTGGGATGAAATCCTTGTTTCATGTGTTGTACGCGCAGAGAAGGGTTTACCGGTCGTAAGTTTTTATACGAAAATTTTTTGTCCACATTTTTTTTGTTGTGCTGATAATTTTAATTAAAAAATAATCTGTGCTAGGAAAGAGTGGGGTCACCCAGTTATTCTGGCATGCAGCAGAACGAACTGGTGTTTGGTTGCTCAGGGGAAAAACTTTATCAATTTTACCAATGTCTCATCCAATACTTGACAGCAAAACATCCCCAGGAGCTCGCTGGTTTTGAGGCAACACTTTCACGACCATTATTTTGCTTATGCTGATATCGTACACACCCAGGATTTACGAGCCTACGCCTACCACCAGGGTCATCCCTAGAGTCTCGTCGATTAAATTAGCCTTGTTAATTAACTGTGGCATGAAACCACGTTCCAGGAGGCTATGAAGGTATTTTGGCAGTGAAAAGAAATGTCACCAAAAATCTTACCGCCCATTCATTCCTTGTGTGTCTCGGGTTTGAGTTCCTGGTGAAGTGATTTCAATTGTACGCAATGGATGGTGGAGGCTGACGGACACCTTTTTTAAGAGATTGTACTGGACAGGAACACCTCGCTTTGCGTTCAAGATGCGTTGTTACCGGAGAAGTGAGCGCTAAACGAATTAGCGCTGAAGGCGGGGGTGGAGGGGGGGGATCATTCTAACCATTGTACATATGGGGATGCGTTCCGGACAGAATTTTTTCTTTCGTACGAGCAATATCATGGGGAGCTTAATTGGGGTGTCGGTAATAGCGCTGATAGTAACGCGGATGGGAAACATTATTTCATACATAAAAGAATATAATTTATTATATCAGTAAGTATTATGTACTGTACTCACGAGTGCATTCTACTGTACTCCCTACAAGGCAGCGGTGGGAGTTGAGGACCTCTGTGATTGGAGTGATAGCCTCAAGTCTAAATTCCTGTGGTGAGGTTTCGTTTAGGTAGAGCTCTGAGGGACTCTGGTCTCGCAGATTCTCACCTGGCGATCTGAAAAAAAAAAGTCGAAATCGAAAAAAAATATCTTTTTTTTTTCAAAATTTCGTTCTGGCTACCAATTATGATCATCCAATTGTGGGGGGGAGGTGGGGTCTGGTCGGCTCAGAGGCATGCATCGCTCTTATTGGCTGAGCAAACATTGGGGGGCGGGGGCGGGTCGTTTTTCGAGCCAATGCTGCTAAACGTGGGTTGTCACTCGCAAGGGGCTGCTTTTAGATTATTTTATTTCACTTTATCTTTGCTTTCTCCAGGACAGAGGGTTCTGTCATCACGAATCGACGTTCTCACGAGGTGGTGCTAAGCGAGGTCTGCCTGTGTTACAACTAATGACCTGAACATTTTTAGCTGTTAACACTGCCCCCCCTTAAACTGAATTTTACGTACGATAAGTGACAACGTCTTCAAACTCCTACTCAAGTAAGCATTGAGGCTTGGTTAACCTCATCCAGTGGTGGAAATTTCAAGCTCCTTTGGAACAATCTCTGCATAGGACTACCAAAGATAACACAAAGTGTGAGGAAATGCCCTTGAACTTGAGGAGTAATTGTCGCAATGTTGGAATATTACCAAATGTCCTTCTTACTGATGCACCAGATTCAATGCAGGATCATTTGTCTATTTAAATAGTGGTGAATGTAGTGCCCTCTCGTGGCTGGAGGAGAACATCTATCACATGTGAATGTTTAAATTGAGAAAAAAAAACCCCATTGATTTCAAAATCATTTCGAATCAATGCATAATCCAAAAAATGACAGTGGTATTCTCACACATGGTTGTCGGAAGCGGTATATATCTCGAGCAAGCCCGTCCTCAATTCTCTTGACATTGAGAAATTATATCAGAAGGTCACCCCGCAACATTACTAATTGGCTGGTGGTGTAATGCACATTTCATACATTCAGTTTTTTACGTTCCATCTGCAACGATTGAACACATTTTCTGAGTCGGTAGAAAAAGATGACCTTGCATGCAGGCAATTGACACTTGTGAGGTGTGGCCACGTATTTGGATCGGTACTGACCGTCTCCTTCTTTCAAAATGTTACTTCCTATCCATTGCCTAAAACCCAAGCAGGCTCCTGGAACTGAAGGTGATTTGACCTCGGCTTGTTAAAAGTGTATTTTTTTTGCAGCATCATTATTCTCGTGAAATAACCGGGTTACCAGTTTTCTGCACATGTAGAGATGGGCAGCAACAAAGCATAACAATTGTTTCCTTTTTAACTGAGAATTGAAGGGAACTGCCATGAAAATAGTTGGCACACTGGACTTGCAAACCATAGGTCTCTGGTTCACCTCCTGGTGGTGCGGCAGTTGAAACATTCGGTAAGTTTCTTAACCCTCCCTGTGTCACCCCCCCCCCCCCCTTCGTCTCTGTACACCTGCCAGTATAAATGGGCACATCAGTCAATCGGCAGATCGCGTGCGGGCTGAACGGAGCGTGGGCACACTCACAATCACCATCTGGAGCTCCCTCTAGTTGGAGGCCCTTCCACACCAGCAGCAGTGGGCGTGAGCCGGTGAGAAATTTCTGGGCTGCACCATTTGAATTTGAGAAAGGCCGAGGGCAAATGTAGAGCGTGAGCGTACGCGGTGACTTTGGTCGCCTTGCCCGTTCGTACGTTCGTGCCCGCTGATTGGTGCACTTCTAAAATTCCACTGGGATCGAATCGACTTTTTTTTAAATCGTTAATTGCCGGGGTTTTTTTCTCTCTCAAAAACTCGATAATACTTCTCGCAGACTCTTAAGAAAGTAAGTGGGCTTAGGCAGGACACTTCACCGCTAGCAGCGACAACGGCTGGATAATGAAGGAAATTCATTTGTGAGTGCGTCCGACCAAGGAGATGGAGCGATTAAATCAGATCATCGTGACCAGATGGTGGCATCTTGGGGAGACCACCAAGCAGTGGATTGATCACGGCTGATGATAATGCCAATATACAAATGCTTGTAGCAATAATTATTGATATCTCCAGTTGGATGAAAGGCTTGTAAATTGCTGCGGTAGTGTTAGAAAATGTTAAAGGGTACCACATTTGTGAAAGTTTTGTTTTTGTCAAATGTTTTTCTTTTAAATGATTGCTGAGCACAGACCCCGAGCCCCAAAACGTGCAGCGGCCAGTAACAGACAGACGAGAGTTAACGCGTTTCTTGAATTGAGCAAAAGGTTATTTCTTTGAATTGAGAAAATAAAGGCAGGGAATTCCTATGTTGATCAGTCCTGAGTGAGGAAGTAGAAAAGTGGGTGTGACTTTAATGCGGTGAGTTTTGAGTGAGTGAGCTGCTGGATGGATGTGTGGGTGAGTGGGCTGGTGAATGAGTGTCGTCACCTGCAGTACGGTAGTTGAACACTGTGAATGAGACGAACGTTTGGTGGGAGTCCTCAGCGTGGGTGGGAGTTCGCAGTAAGCATAACAAACATGGGATTGGTAGAAGCAGAAGAGTGATACGGAGGCGACTGGACCACCATCGATTGAGCGAGTGATTGGAGTGAGTTCTGGATCCTCGGTCAACTCCCCCCTCCACCGACTGCTTTGCCTTGAAGTATGTTGAGGCACAATTAAGTTTTCTACATTGTAAGCGATGATCACATTTTCTTACTTTTATTTTCCCGTCGATTGTTTTGATGTTGCATATGCAGTGAAATTGCCAGCCAAGGGTGGAAGAAGGATAATGCGAAACCGTTTGGGCTTATTTAGATAGTTGGTGAATGGCTTTTCTTCAAATTAATACCATTAAAATACATTCTAATATTTCGAACTTCTTAATAATCAATATTTGTTGGCGTTACCGCAAATTATAGCCAATGACCAACATAGATCCTACAGATGAAGAAGCGGACGATACCTCCTCCACGTCGTTGTCCCCTCCTAACAACTAATAAAAGTATTGCACACCACGGGGGCTACATCTCGGTAGCATTGGTTCAACAAAAGCAAACTGGATCGCTTTCGACTTTTCAGTGTAGCCTGGATGAAGATCTCAACACGGAGCATGTAATCCACGACTCGTGCGTGATCATTCTGAATGAACTATTCATCTCGAGTCCAGTTAATATCAGCAGGCCACTGCCATGTTTTGTCGGTCATTAATGCTGTGTCCAGAGCCAATCAACTCGTTTGGTCCCTGGGTGCATTGTTCAGTATGCACCTCTATCCATAATGCTATAGTCAAGTCAAAATTCACAGTAAATTCCTGCCTAAATGAGCATTGAGGCAGTGCTCATCTTCAGCCAGTGTGGACAAATTCCACATTCCTATAGGATATGCGAGTGTGGCCATGGGACAACTGCTAATATTCCTTACAAAGCGACACTTTATTTGTGATGATTGCCGAGTGAACCACCTCGATAACATCTTGCTGCATACACGGGATTGTTATTACTCAGGCTGCTTGTACATCCTCGGTTCTTCCACTGCTGCATGAAGGTCTCCCCATGCCATGTCAATTACAGGCGGTTGACTGGTCTTGATTCGCAAAACCATTCAAAATGGGTCGGTGTGAAGTGGAACATGTAAGGGTGGCTACTGATGTTAGCCGTGTCCAGGACTCGAACCTACGTCACCGATATTTGTAAAACGGACTGATTAACTCTCGTGAAATGTGTGGCATTTGATGTAATAGAGCCCTTTTGACATGAACAGAGCTGTTGGAATTGGAGCGCTGTCATTCACCAAGCACTGTTGCAATTAATTTGTGCTGTTGATATTAATCGAGCTCTGTTGCATTGCATGCCATGGTGCATGGATACACCACCATCAGTTTTACAGCTTGGCGTTGCTTATTTCACAGTAACATGTTTGGAACAAAATTCGGCGATAATGAGGCCAGCTTGAATACTCAAGTCCAGTTAACATTGTGTGTGCAGCCTTGCAGTACACAGTGGATTGGAGTGATTCACCAGCACTGATTCTGGACCTCAATGCCCAAGTCATTGATTTCCTACTCAATGGACATTGAGGTGGTGCTCATGTCCCCATTTACAGCCCAAAGCCATTGGTGGAAATTCCACGTTCCCATGGCAGGTGCGAGTCAACATAAAACAACTACCGGTGACAACCCACAACGTAGTAATCAATGTGTCGACTTTGAAGAGGGAGGTGACCACCCTCACCCAGGATGTGAACCGGCGACCTGATTTTGAGAAACTCTTCTGTTGCTCACTCAACCACCTGGTTCCGAAAGATTTCCTCAAATCAACTTGAGACTGGGCCCCTCAATAAGTGAGGCCCCAGCCCTGCCAGCCATCCCCAACGACGCTCTCTTGAGCGTTTGAGCTCACAGTGTACAGGATAATCTATTTAAACTTTAGTTTGTTACCCAAGTCTTTTATTGTAGTCTGACAGATAACAGCTGTTAGGGGAGTGTTTTTTTTAAACGAATGAATGAAAATCTGAGATGTTTATTTTTTATTTTGAGGTTTTGGTTTTCGTTGGGCGTGTGGGTTTTGATGGCGTCGTGTGAGTTTTTTGTACCAGAGTCACCGTTTTGCCGCGAATCATTCTCAAGTGAATGCAATGTTTCGGGGGAATTATGTCGAATGGTAAAAATTGTAAAAACAAAAATCTTAATTTCGCAGGAGCATGAAAGATTAATTGGCCGACTCGTTTATTATTTCTCTTTCTTTGTGATTGAATTCAAAATATGAATTAAAACCACCGATGAATTAATGTGCAGCTGCACAGCCTCAATTCCTCTCCCCTCATTACACCCACGACACCCCTCTAATGATACATTAATACACTAATTCAAACATGGATAGCAATAATGAACTACCTCTTCAGACATACCTCGTTTCTTTAGAACTGATTTTTGTGTTAAGTTGTCCTTCCCCAGCACCTCCGATTAGCCATATATTGTGCGAAAGAAGTTCAACAGGTAACAATAAAAACCGGCTTCATTGTGGAGAATCGTTAATGGCAAATGCACAAATGCAGTAATAACCAGGGCGGCCTCCATGATTCGAACATCTCCAACACGTGTCCAATGCCCTATTGCCGAACCCCGCCACCACGCCATGTCCACCAGCCAGCCACAAGTGCAAAAGAACCCTGGCAATCGATTGCCCCCCCCACCCCCCGTATTAAACGGGTGGGGTGAAAACGATTTGAAGAACCAGAGTCGTGAGGCAGAGGAATGTGGGAGGCAGTGTTGGGTTCTGTGTGTCTAGAGGGGGACAACCAATGCCTCCGGATTCAACCAAATGGGTTCGCATTGCGACACGTGTCAATAGCGTGAGCGGAAATTGGCAATTGGGTGAAGCGACAGCTTCTCATAATAACGCACGGTAATTATATCTCAGTTGCGACGAGCGTGCAGTGAGAATTTAATTAACAGCTTTTTTCAATCCACTACTAAATGAAAGCTATGCAACTTTAGCCAATTTTGGTTAAAACGACAGCTTAGTTTGTAGATTTGTTATTGTAAAATGTCCTAAGTTTTGTTTGACATTCAACATACTAAGTCCAAAGACAATGGACGAATTCACTTTTTTTACACTAAGGCTGAAATTTTGACCATTTAGGCCAAAAATTACATCGGTGAGTAACAGCGGCTCTGAGATCCACTACAAAGCTATGGCCAACAAATTATCCAGATACATCCCTGTAAAGCCCATTCATGTTTATAAGAGAAGCTACTTCATGTAATGAGATTCCGTGTTTTTTACAAAACATTTTTTTCTCCGTTCCTGCCACAATGCACTGCGTACATAAATAACACCGCCAAATTAAATCATACACAGAAACTGGCCATGATTCTTGAAGAGTCTTGAAACATGGTAACAGGTTGCCCATTAAAATTTCATCGACTTTCTTCAAAATTTTCAAAATAAACTCAGTCAAGTTAACAAGTATCCTGTTTTTGCATTCTTAAAACACATTCCTGCGGAGGGAGCTGGTAGGAACACGTTGGGTTGCTCGGTCAATGGCCAGGGTCAACGGCGGCGTGGTGTATTCCGCAAATATGCCCGACTGTGAGGGCGGGCACAACCCGGCGTGAGTAGGTTAAACGTTGAGTTTTATAAGGGCACCACGGGGTGACCAGCGCCTCCCCACCCAGCCCCTCCCCACCCAGCCCCTCTCTGCACGACGGATGGACACAATAATCCCCTATGGGCTGGTGGAACCAGGTGGTTCCTACGAGTATAACATCGATTCTGTGCAAGCGCTAATCGTGCATCGCGGTGAGGTTGAGGATGAATACCGTGGAGTGAAGCATAAGCCCCGGCGCATTACCCTCCACCAGAAGGCCACCTTGACCCAGCCCGAGATACACCAGGATTAAGGTGCTGTAAATGGAATTTTTCGTAACGTCACGCAATTGTTTGCTTTCTATGCTTAGCACTTTTTCCCCGCGTGCTCCTATTGCTAGATTTTTTTTATTTTAAGTATATTTCATAAGTTATTAACTGTACCTCACAGTTACATTTCGGTTGCTCGTGGTCTCAGCATACAGCAGACGGAGAGGTCTCGGCCCAGCGCCCGAGCCTAGTGCACGGTCAACGAACATTCGGAAGTGACTGCTTTCATATAAAAATGTTTCGTGGTATTTATAAACAATTGGACACAGTATATGCTCCATTAGTTTAATAATTGGGAGTGTTCGGGTAGATATTCGATTAAATGAAAGAATCACGGGTAGTGCGGAGCGTATGTCCAGCGAAATGGAACAGGTAGCGATAGAAAACGGATGACAGCGCCATGCAGGACTGAGAGAAAACGGTAGGGGAGGCACAACTTTTTACGGCTATGGGATTTTATCTTGATTTTGGGGGAATATTCTTCAGTTTCCGACATGGAAATTTCGGGTTATGGATCGTTCTCGGGAACCGAACCCTTCCGTAACCTGGGGACTGCCTGTACAAGTGTAACCTGGGGACTGCCTGTACAAGTGTCACCTGGGGACTGCCTGTACAAGTGTCACATGGGGACTGCCTGTACAAGTGTCACCTGGGGACTGCCTCTGCCTGTACAAGTGTCACCTGGGGACTGCCTGTACAAGTGTAATGACAACTAGACACACTTCTCTTGAGATGGAACTTTAGTGAAGACACAATCACTTGACACCAGGCAGAGACCCCCACCGCAACAGCCCCGAGTCTCCCGCGCATCGCCCCCTTTTATACCGACACGAGGCCACGCCCCCTTCTCGATCATTCTCGCCAACTCTGCACGCTCGCTCCACCGGCAGACTCCACCGTCCTCTTCCGTCACCTGACCACGCTCCCTTCTCGAACTTTCCCAAAGCCACCAGTCCCTTCACACTCACAACTGACTCCCCTGTCATTACCTCCCGTTGCCACCAGTCCCTTCACACTCACAACTGACTCCCCTGTCATTACCTCCCATGGCCACCAGTCCCTTCGCACTCACAACTGACTCCCCTGTCATTACCTCCCGTAGCCACCAGTCCCTTCCCACTCACAACTGATGCCCGTAATTACCTCCCGTGGCCATTAGTGCATTCGCACTGCAGGCTGACTCCTCTGTCATTACCTGCCGTGGCCACTAGTCCACTCACACCGCATGCTGGCTCTATTGTTGTTACACGTGTTATTTTGTTGTATGTGAACATTGTGGGAGAAGCGCAAAGTAGATCCAACATCTCGCTGATGTGCACGATGTGCGCGTGTTTTTAATTGTTGCCAAAGTAATTGATGGGTTCAAAGACTCGGTGACAAGCCCCCTTAAGACCTAAGGACGAAGGGTTATCTTATGGTCGCTGAAGGGGTCATTTTGAAGATCTGAATCAAGACTCGTTGACAAGAGTATTCTCAATTCCATCCTGCAGCACCTCGTTAGAAATGAGCTCAGAATCCCTCTGACCCTTGACGAAGCCCTCAAACAGATTAAGAACAAGAAGGCTGATGGAATTACAGCGCCACATTCTCATTAAATACAATTAAACATTAAATTATCATGAAATAAAACTAAATTCAACAGGTATCGTCATCAGGTGGGAAAACCACAGCAAGAATTTGTTTTGCTGAAGTGGGAGAGAGATGCCGATGTAAGAGGTTATATGATAATTGCTTGTGTTGCAATTGAAACGTCGCGATTTAATTTATTTTATGTTATACCTACGTGACTTTACCGAAAAAACCAAAGAGTATGGATCCCTGCAGTCACGAAAACTTAAAATCTCGGTAAGGCCCACTGAGCTATAAATGACCTGGCAGCAAATGATAGCTCAACAAAGTGGCTTATCATGTGGAAATGTATAGCGTCCAAGTGTAGGCGTGTCTCACTTAACGAGTATCCTTTTACGATAATTCATTATCAGAAGCAATTTGAATTTTGCCAAAGTTGTAAAAAAAAAAGACGGAGAAAATGTTCGCATAATGAGCGGAAACCGATCGATCAAATGCGTCCCGTGGCAACACGGGGCGCATTTGATCGATCTTTGCTCAGCAGCTGTGCTATGTTAACCGTGTGTTCTGGGTGGGTGCGGGGCAGGGGATGTATGTTGAACATCTTTCGCACCGTACGTAGCCAACCGTGATAATCGGAGGTGCGGGGGAGAGACAAGAAACTAAATCCAAACAACAGTTCTAAAGAAATGATATTTGTCAATCGAGATGATTTTAAAGTGCATAGCTCCAGTGGCTTCCTAATATCAGAAGAGCGTTCCAGACGGCCACAGAAGCACATCGTACTCTACTGTGCACGTGGGGCTCGGGGTCCAATCCCTGATCACCGTTGCATTCACCTCAAATAAAAACGCGCAACGGCTACCACCCGTAGCTATTACAGCTATGAGATTTAAGACAAGATAGTTTCCTCCATACGCTGCAGAGTGCGCAAGAATACGTGTGATTGATCACAGGTAAGCTCGCACCGGTTACACATCATGTGGCATTTCTAGCAGCCACATCATCTAGACGCGTGATGATGATTTTAAACGTTGGGACGGAAAACCAAGAGGACCCAGAGAAAAAAAAATGAACACGACCACGGGGAGAACATGCAAACTACAAATATACAGATGCCAGGATCGAACCCACGATCTCCTGTATACCAGGCAAGGTAGTTAACATCTCGCCACTGTGCAGGCCACATGCAGGGAAGTTGGAACTGGGTGCTCCACCACAGATATGACAACAGGATTCCAGCTTTGGACAAATTTGTGCTTTGTATGGCAACAGCGATAATTGTTCTGAATTACAGGCGACTTTTGCAAAGAACGGAAAACCAAGCTTTGATGTGTCTTTCGAGAGATTAGCTATCGTAATTGACAGGTGAGAAGAGATTGTTGTGCCAATCTTGATTTGAAGCTTTCGTGACTGCAGGAATCTACACTCGTCGGTTCTTACAGTAAAGTGACGTAGGTAGAAATAAAGTAAAATAAATCACGACGTTTTGATCGCAACACAAGCAATCCTCATCAGGTGGAACAACCACAGCAAGAAAAAAATGCTCAAGTAGGCGAGAGAGCTGCCGTGGCAAGAGGTTATATATGTGTAATACCGTTGACGACTCTTGACGCCGGAGTTGGAGGCATACGGGTTCATTTCACAGCACAACAGTGGGCATATAACACTCGAGGGGGTATCGGCCCCCTCACCCGGCTAGCTGGGTATACACACGCTAGCTACCCTAGCCTGCCTCTTAGTCCTCCACTAACGGGCTAGGGGAGGCTATCTGGCCCGACACTGGTAAGTCGGGCCCGG